AATCTCCGTCTCCGTTATCTCCATGAGGGTGAATGGAAGTGGCTCCACTGCCTCCAACATGCGTCCATCCGACGCATGTCGGACGCATTCCGTCAACGGAGGGTGCAACAGACGCGGACGGACGAAATAGAAACAATCCTATTTGTTCCGTCCGTCAACGCATGTTGGGTCCGTTTTCCATTGAAAATACAATGGAATAATATATTTACCACATTATTAAACATGTATTGATAACGCTGTGGTCCTTGGTTATAAGTATTTGTTAATGATAATGATTATTAACAAATGTGTGTAATTTTTTTCATGTATTCATGAAATAATTGTTTCCTGATTGTAAATCTACCATTTATTTTTCGCGTAATGTTAATACGCTAAACTTTACACACCTCGCTCTTTTTCCTATCGCTCTGTCCCCTCTACCTCCGAGGCGCTCTCTCCTCCTATGTAGGAGTTCTTTTCTCATTTCTCTCTCCCCTTTTCCAATTGCTTTCAATAAGTTTTGCCTCATCCATCGCGACGTCCGCGATGGATGAGTGCCGTACTTTGCATGGATCATAGCCACAGCTCATACAAATCTCACAACGCTTCTTCTAATTAAAACAATTCCTCACGGGGTGCTGATAAACGCACAGCCAGAGCTGCGCGCTGCGGCAGACGGTTTGGCCACTATTCCGTTTTACGGACGTCTGACGGGCAGCAGCCAAGGCGCGTCAACGGAGACGCGCCCGGTGGAGTCCTGGCCTTACTCTTTCAGTCTCAGAGTTTCAGTTTCGCTGTGCCCTCCAATGTTTTATAATACGTTTGTTCATTTTTGAGATAAATCTTTCCAACAAACCTGCCGACCATCTAAATTCAATGTGTTCATTGGGAAATACTTACACCATTCAAAAGGTGAGAGAGTGACTCAGCAAATATACACATGCCAGTTTGGGATCACACGTTGATTTTGAGAGTTTTGATTTGTTCGTGAAAAAGTTTTATCGGGTCAGTCGAAACACAGGGACTGGAATTGGACTGTAGAAAATACCAGGGTGTAAAAAAGGGCAATGACACTTCTAACATATTCTAATTTAATATAAAGTGGGAGTCATCCAAAAACTGTCACATTTTTGGGGTTAAGTAATGGCACCACTTTCAGATGCGATTGTAAAAGCACACGTTATTTGTTAACGTATTCATCCTGATGTGAATCACATTCTTAATACGACTGACCGTCTCTGCGATACATTTATAACCTGTCATTAGTTTTACGAGCTGTGACTTCAGTTAAAAAAATGTTTGTTGCTGAAATTATATTTGTGATCTATAAAGCTCATTGTAACGCCCTCCTCACTGTGGAGAGGTTCAAACCCTGCGAGAGTTTTTATGACCTGTTCGGTGTCTCTCTCTAGTCTTTCTTTGGTCTCTTTATATGTTTAATGATGGTGTGAGAAAGTGGACTTTTACAGGGAATTTTAACTGCTTTTATTTTTGTGGTGTGTTTTGTGTGTTTTTATGGTTTTACTGCATGCATTTTAATCACAGTTCCTTGTACACCGGTAAATTACCCACACCTGCTCTTAATTAAGACTTTCTTAAATTGGGGGTGGGCACTGCAGTACGGGGGAGCGAGAGACGGAGACAGTGCGCAGGCATCAGGAGGAGGACCCGGGACCGGGCCAAGGACAAGCACCGCCAGCCAGAGACCACGGGCGACTGAGGCCAGCGAGGAGAGCGGCACCGGTGAGGGGGCGCGCATTGATAGCGCATGAAGGCGCGTGCGCGCCCGGGCTAGGCCCTCTGACGACCGGGCGACTCTGGGCTTTTATCATCTTTTTTTAATGGACCTTTTGTAAATATTTTATTTTATTTTACCCTTTTTATCCTCTGCTTTTTTATTGATCACACCCCTCGACAGACACTTTTAAACCTGTGACAATGGCTTTGTGAATCTAATCACTATCAAATAATAAACTGGGAAATCAATAGGACATATTTCTTTAGAATATTGCATCTTTCCCATAGAGTTTCCTGAATAGTGAAATAAAATTTGACAACATGAAGGCATTGTCCCAAAGCTGTAGTTGTTGTGGCCACGGGGGCCTCTCGGTTTCTGCGGACTTCCAATGTTGTCGGGATAATTTTAGCTGCAGCTTGACCGGTGAAGGTGCAGTTACAGAGTTTTAAATAGGGCGACCCCACTTCCTCGCCACGACTCAGCAAATATTTAGGAAGGCACTTCACATGGGAGCTAGAGTTCCCGGTAGTAAAAATAAGGCAAACAAACTTCCAGTGCAGCATTTAAGTGGGTTCTTGTGAAATGCGTCTTCTATTTTGAACAGAGTTTCAACATTTGCTCGTTACTTTACTGAGCTATGTGAGGTCATTCCGGGCTGGGTTTGCTTGTTCTGCCTGTGTTTTGGTAAGTTTCCTCAGCTCAGTGCATGTTACCAATCCTCCACATTAGAGAATCAAACAGTTCGAACACAGGATATGCAATAAAAGGACACATAGGAGCCATTGGTCCATAGGGAGCGGGATGACCACTATCCATAAGGTACTATATGTTAATAAATGTCCATTAATTTCCTGGAACTTCACTGTCCATAGACCCTCTTGCATCGACAAGGAACCACTCAAAAACTCAGTGGGGAAAATGTGTGAAACCTCGGGGAGGTCGATATTGAGAAAGGAATTTGCACCCACGGATGGACAGGTTGTAGATCTAGGACTCAGGCTGTAGATCTAGGACTGAGGCTTTAGATCTAGGACTGAGGCTGTAGATCTAGGACTGAGGCTTTAGATCTAGCACTGAGGCTGTATATTCATGACCGAGGTGGTCGATCCAGGACTGAAGAGGCCAAGGGTCCGGGCACGGACCAAGGGTACTAACCATAGACCGTAAATATCAACGGACATAGTCACGCCCATCTCCGCTGTTGAAACTAATGTTCCATCACTTTTGGCCTCCATGGAGCTTTTTCAATATTGCCCCGGGGCAGGAAAATGTGATAAAACGCATTTGCACATGCGTTTGCCGGCACTAGCCCCATTAATTTAGCGAGTGCATTTTGAATTCCACAGCGGCTAAACAAGACTGGTCCAAGAGTTGGGCCAAGAGCCGACTCTTGGACCATCCTGTAAAGACGTTTTCCCGAGGATAGAGGACGCGTTTTTCCGGGTCCATGTCAGCACACATACTCATAGACCTTTTGGGGCCGGGACCCACCCCCACTGGTACTACCCCATTTTCCTTCTACTACGTCTAAAGTTTTTGATAAAATATAAACCAATTCTCTGTGTTCAATATCAGCCTGTCACATTTTGATAGACAATACATTGAAGCAATGAGATAAACAATAATATTGAAATGACTTTGTTCCATTGGTGGAACTTGGATACCAGATCACCTACAATAATTTATAATAATGAATAATAATTCAATAATAATTTCTTTGCTGACCCATTTCCATTCCGTTCCGTTTGTTCTTCCTAATTAAAAAATAGACAGACAAACAAACTTCAGCTCAAAGTGTCAAATAGTGACTCGCAGGGCTCTTTCTTACACAAATGATTGCATGTTTTCTAATAGATGAAGAAGCATGTTGTGGTCTGATTTCTTAACATTTTACTTTTAATAAAGGATAAGCAACATGTATTAATTATGGGCTAAAGAAAATTACATACTACAGCTTTAATGTCTTTCTGGATCTCTGTAGTTTCATGTGAGGAGTACAGCTGTAGTATTACTGAGTAATGGCTTTGAACCGCATGCATGCTGAGGAGAACGCAGAAACTAGAGAACACAACTGTGAAAGAAACCAAGAATCACAAACACTCTCCCAGTCACTCCTGCTTTCATTTAAAGATGCAATGTTGTATTTATGTCGTCAATTTATTTATAATTTCAGCTCATTTGTAAACCCCAGTATCCCAGACATGGATATTTTTTGGATAGCTTCACACAGGGTATAATTTACCCTTGGATCTCACACATTGACAGATAATAAACTTTGTGCCAGTTTTTGTGCCCTATGTGCCTGAATTTTCCTCCGTCAGATTTATATAAAATGTTATGGATGCTCAGTGATGCTTTACATGGCATTATTCATTAAGAGTAAGCTTCTTTGTAGCCACAAGTTTACAATTGGCAATGAGAGCTCCTGCCCAATGCTCAAAGCACCGGCCCCTCGCTGATCCTCTGTAGGTGGTGAGTCCACAGGAAGATGGCTGCTACATCAGTGGTGCCACAGTCTTGGTGTTTCAGCGGGAGCTTCATGCAATGTGGGGTTAAGTGTCTTGCCCAAGGACACAACGACAGCAGACATCAGTGGAAGCAGTTGGAGTAGGTCCCGTGATTGGCTCGACCCCACGACATAGTCTACCAACTCTACTGTCACCCCTGTCTTCTTAAAAGTTAAATTTTTAATTTCAACACAAAAATTATAACATGAGAAATAAGTAAACATACGTGTACGTGGTCACTTTACATCCATTGTTTGGACAGCACTGTTTCTGGACTGTAACTCTGCTCTCAGCATTTTAGTTATCTGATCTGATTAATTCTTTGCTAAATGAAATACTCCTTTTTTTGGCATAGTCTTCTCGCTCATCGTTAGTGGTTGTCAGAGCAACACGGCAGCCGCATGTGCTTAATTCCTTTTGTTCCCTGTGTGTCAGTGTCATGGATCTATGGTCAGTGTGCGTTAATGACCAGAAAGTAGGTGCAATGTGGAATTTGTTGGTATATATGTTTCTGCTATATAGAAGGGATGTATAGTATTAACTAAAGATAGACCTAAGGCCCGTTTCCACCAGCTTTACTTGGCTCATCTCAACTCTACTCGGCTGTACTCTCCTCTTGCCTGTTTTACTTGGATCTACACTCCTCTTCTCTACTCTACTCTACTCTGTTCTCACCCACAACAAATCGGTATCTGGGGACATTCCTTGCACAACCCCACTTCCTAGCCGTAACCTTTGTCACCTCTTTGACTCCTCCTTTTTTTGTTCTTCCTCAGTTGGAGATGGAGAAGCTTCAACTGCAGGGCCTGGAGCAGGAGCACCGCAAGCTGACTGCGCAGCTGAAGGACGAGCGCGACAAGAACAAGCACATCGTCATGATGCTGGTGCGCGAGTGCAAGCAGCTGGCCACGCGTGTCGTGGAGGAGTCGCAGCGCTTTGACGACCTGCAGACGCGCCACGACAAGGAGACGCGCAGCTCAGGTCGGTTGCAGGAGGAACTGCTTGTTGAAAGGCAGAAGTCCCAGCAGATGGAGGCCAGCATGGAGAAACAGCTGTCCGAATTCGACACAGAGCGGGAGCAGCTACGCGCCAAGCTGACCCGCGAAGAAACGGAGAACGAAAGCTTAAAACAGCAGATGGAGACGCTCAGGACTGGGCAGGGCGATAGCAAAGAGGCTAACGAACCTGTTAGCAAACCGGAAATTATCAAAGTTGTTACGGCTTCAGTTTTGGTTGCGACAGATCCGGTTGCATCTAGAACAATATCTTGCCAAACGGACAGCGAAACGGAGGTGGCGGCAGCGAAAAAAGGCCCCATGTCAATCCCTGTGAAGCCCGCCAACTATGTGGGGCTGAGTTTGCCCAAATCACGGACGCTGAGTTCGGAAAATGGCGCTGAGTCCACGCAGCACACGAGCGGGTTGCCGACTGGGGTGAGTCCGCGAGTCCAGGCCGCAAGGTACAAGTTCCAGGAGCAGGACCAAAACCAGAATGGGTCTCAGAGCAGCCCACCCACGAGAGACCTGTCGCCCACCAACCGAGAGACCAACTTTGCCGCCAAACAGCAGGCGCGGCACACGGTCACTCAGGTCAGTACCAACGTCTGTCACATAATGAGGGCTCAAGTTCATTCTTGTAGGAGTCTAAATGTCAAATGTTTACAAAGCACAGGAATATAGAGCATGTTAAAAATGTGTTATTTCCAAATCGGTCTGACCACTCAAGTTCCAGTCTGCATGCACCCACTGAGCAGTCAGAGCGTTGTTCCGCTCTGGTAAAATCACTGACAATATATTGTGTCAGCACAGTTTTGGTAAATGTACTCATACAACATCTTGTAACTTCGAGCATTAATTTTGCATCAAACACACCATTTCCTGCTTTTTTCTCATGTAACGAAAACAATACAAAACAACGAAATACGTACAAAATGGACTGCTTAAAATGAGGGAGTGGCTTATATGTTTCCAAATACCTTTCTATTATAAACATGGCTTTTCCATGTGCTCTAAAATTATCTGCCGGCCTTGTCTCAGTAGCCGATACAAACTGTTTTTTCACATCTCACTCCCAGCCCACAGGGGTATGCATCTTGTACCATCTTATTCAATTAGGATGAAACTAAATTATTGATTTTAGTATGATTCATTTTGATTCCCATTTGGTCTTTAGGGTTGATTTGATATAGAAATAGCATAGCACTACTCTTAGTACTGATTTTTTCCCAGACTAAACCCAGACCCGGATTTGTTGTGGAAGAACCTGACATGGAAGCAAACATTTAGGTCAATCAATTACATGGAGACAATTTAAAGATGGAACAGACCTTCTCAATAATACAATGGACTCTTTTACCAGGGCATCATACTAGACATTTTCTTCTCAGGGTTGTCATCATCAGGTAGTTCAGCCTTTTTAAGAATTAGCAAGATTATAGTGATTGACCTATATGTATGTGGCCATGGACTAACTGACTTAGACTTAAACCATAGCAAGCTGCGTGACGAAAGTAAAAAAAGAAGTGTTCTATTTTTTTTTTCTATTTTGTCAATGGAATATTGATATTTTAAATTTGTTTGGAATGGATATACAAAATGAGTGCAGTGACTGTTTGGATTGAACCGAAGTGGGGAACCTGATGTAAAGAAGGCTTGCAATTGTAATTGTAATTGTGCAAGGGTTTTGTTTATATTTACCGGTAACTTTTTAAAATTGCGTTTTGGCTCCAAATTTAGGAATAGAATAACTGATGTGGATGTTTTGAGGAAATAAGCTTTGAAATAAGGGTTAACAGGACACTGAAAAGGCCCTATTTGGCTCCTGACACTTGTTCAATGAAATCACAAGTTAAATGATTTCACATTTTACACATAGATATTTGTGCTGTCAGTTAATCATGTTAATAACCGTGTTAACGTAAACCCATTTTAACGGCATCAATTTTTTTATCGCAAATGCAAGGCTCCTGCCTGCATGCCAGAGGTTTGCTATACAGCAGCAAAAGTCCATTGCTGCTGACCAAAAAGACCATGAATTTGGGAAAAAAAAAATCTGTCCATGGGCAACGGTTAAGCATATACACTTTAGAAAAAACTAAGCGTTAATCTTTCAGTTATATATTGTGTTAGCAGTGCGTTGCTTTTGTACCATTAGTGATTGTTGTACAGCTTAAGTTGCGCTAATGCTAATGTTAGCATCAGATCGCAAATACAACTACATGGCTCCGTGGGATGTCATAACCTGGCTCAAGGCCATGACAAATGTGGACGCAGACAACCCAAAATGGAATAATTAAAGGGTGTTTATTAAACAAAAGATTGACCCAAGTATACTAAAAATAATAATGACTGAAAATAATTACTGGTCTGTAAGATCAGTAGTGCATGCGAGTGAATGGATGGGTGTTCGTATGGTGCGATGTGAAGTGTGATGCAGAACAAAACCATAACGGGAAAAGAAAGTGGGGTGGCACAGGACGCAGGCTGAGAGAGAGTGAGGCTGTCAGCAGGCCGGTCCATAAATAGGCGTGGCGCGTCGGGCCCTCACGCACCATGCTCCAAGGATCCGCCCAGAGCTCCACCTGTACAGAGATGTAGACGGCAGTACAGAGCACGACCACAGAGAGGAGGAAGGGGTCGTGACAGAGTGTAGGGGAAATTAGAAGCCTGCGGGGGGCGGTGCTAAACATTCAGACCTTGCAGAAACTGTTATAGCACCTTTTTAATAAAGCTTTTTGCTTCATCCAATCAATCAAACAATAGCAATGTTGTTAAATTACAGGTTCTATATCACTCCATAGCAACACACATAGCACTGAGAGTAAACGGTTAAATGATGGTCAGCACTAGATCATATACGGAATCGGGACGGAAGCGCAAGTAAATATAACACACTACCTATTAATGTCTAAACTTAACCAGCCATTCCCATAAAATAACCCCAACCTACCCTTAACCCTAACCTTCACTTAAGGACTCATTAGTCTAAAAATAATTAGAAAGTAGGATTGTTACTTCCGGTTTCGTCCCGATTCCGTATATGATCTAGTGCCGACCATTAAATGATGGTTTTCATTAAAGTTACTTTTAAACATGCCAATAATTATTTTTCATGATTGAACAAAACTGCTTTTTCTCCTCTGTGTCTATGTCTTCATTTTGGTCAACGGTTGCTACGGAGCTTTTACCGTTGAGGTTTTTTGAGAGTGTAGAGGACAAAAAAAAGATTTAAACCATATTAGGACAATAGATAGAATAAAAAATCAAGGCAAAACAATTCTAAATCAACGTTGGGATAAGGTGAGTTTTTGTGTCGCTATTCCCTATTTTTCGTTTGCAAATCCAGTGTATACAAAAGCGTTCATTAAATTGTGCTTGTGTCTGCATCCATATAAATTCAACCAGTCTCAGTGGCTTCTGTTAAAATCAATTCAAAATAGTAAAAGTTTGTTAATAATATAACACATATTAGTGTTATATTATTAACACATTTAATCCTGTCTTAACACAAACCATTGCTGTTTACTGCTTCAGGTTTTATCACGGTTCACAAGTCCTCCGAGCTCCACCCCGCTGCGGCCCGGCCTGTCGCACTCTGCCTCGGAGAGCGGGCCATTCCCGGGTCGCCTCAGCCACCCCATTGGCATCAAGTCCCCCACTGTGGCCCGCATCGACCGTGGGAACCCACCCCCCATCCCGCCCAAGAAGCCCGGCCTGTCACAGACCCCCGCGCCCTCCATAAAGGCGGGGAAGATCACGCCACAGCTGCCCCCCAAGCCCGCGCTCGACCTGGTGCCCCCGCTGGCTGCCTCCCAGGTACAAGTGCATGGAGCAGGGCCTGAGATGAACCTGCATGAGCTGATTATATGTGGAAGAGCCGTCTTTCTGGTGGAGAGTCTCAAAGTCGTACAAATGTGTCTACTGCTGAAACTCAGAAAATCTAAATTTTGTTCAAAAGTCCTTTTTACTTTGTTTCAAAAAGTAGCTGACATTTAAGTTGAATTTCTGGAAAGAGAGAGAGAGAGGGTTTCCAACGCAAGCACCGGTTAGACCCACCCCATCTCTCCCCCTCTGTGTCCTGGTTGGATGGAAACGTTTTAAATCCTTCATACGTAGACGAGGGCCCTCGAAATAAACTGCATGTCACTAAGTCAGAAACATGCTTTCTTTTGAAAAATTAAATACTGTTCAAATTTACAAACAAAAAAATTAATGGAGGAACAAAGCATTATGTGAACATTTTTACAAATGTAATTTGTGAATTATGGAATAATAATTCTGTAGTAGTCTAACCTAAGATTCCCGACTGTTACAGACAAATTAAAACATGTATACATTTATTCATGCATGCAACAAGTCTATATCAGGGGTCCTCAACTCGGCCCATAAAGGGCAAGTCAGGCTGCAGGTTATTCCTCAAGTCTCCAGGTTAAGATTGGTCTCTCGCTTGAGGAAATGGGTAGAGGCTGCTGTGTGCCTGTGGGGTTGGAATTAAAACCTGTAGCTACACTGGCCCTTTGAGGACCCCTGGTCCATATCATATATTGATTTCACATTTTAAATTGAATTACAGAAAAAAGGGACTTGGAACATTCTAATTTTTTGAGTTTCACCTCTATATATTTGTGCAAATTTACATAAGAAAACATTTAACATTGACTTCCAGTTTAACATCACTAGCTTTCAAACAATAAAACCAGAAAAAATCAATACAGGAACTAGCTTTATCAGAGGCCTGGTTATGGAGGCAGCAGTTTCCTCCAGGCCAGAGAGTCCCTCCAGCGTCTTTCTTTGGACTGGCTCCTCTCGTCATGGAGGAGCAGCGGCTTTACTCCACATCTTCTGAGAGCTGCTGCTACTGCTAGAGGGTTATTTTTAGATTATGTAACCCCCTCTATGAACTAGGGACCACTGTAAACAGCATGAGATGTTTGATCCTTAAATTATATTTAAAAAAAACTTAATCTGCATCTGCATACAACATGCAGGAAGATAATTTACAGTACATACTCCTTAAACAACAAAGGCCTCAGGACTGAGCCCTGGTCCAATCAAGCAGTAAGACTGAGCTCTGCAACACAGCTTGATAAGAGAAGCACACTCACAATTAGGCATAGTTTTGTTACTTAATTGTAACTTAACACCATCAAGTTATACATCTTTGTACAAACATCATACAAATACTCAACAACCAATGATATCGCTGTTCCACTCATATGTCTGTGTCCCATTGTGCTGTGTGCCATTAACCGTGTCATGTGACTGTGATCACCTGGACAGACCAAGATGGCTGCCACAGCATGTGCCCCTCCCCCTCCATCCTCTCCCGACAGCGCTAGCCTCCTGGCAGCAGCATCAGGTAAACTGGGCTCCTCCCTTTGCATTACAGGCCCTGCCCACCAATTTAATTGGATTTTTTTGTTTCTTAAGTAAAGTCTGGGATTGCGTTATTGCAGCTTTCTTACATTTGAAAGTTTGTTTTGTTTCTGTAGATCTGATTAAGTGCATTTTTTTTTATCCAGGCAAGCAAATGCCAAATACATATCTCAACATACTAGCTAACAACTACATAGCTGATGCATTCGATTGGATCACAAAGTTGTGCTAACATCACAAGATAGAAACCAATGTACAAAAGTGTGTGAATAAAAACTGAAATTTCCCCGCTGTGGGACGAATAAAGGATCTCTTAATCTTAATCTTAAATTGCTGGCTTTCAGTCACATGACCCAACCTTTGCTATTCGCCTTAATTGCATCCCTCTTGTAAACAAAGCAGCATCTCTTACCATAGACTATTGGTGGACAATGCTAACTAGCTAGCTCATTGAAGCCCAAGAGTGAAGTGCTCATGAACAAAGTTTTGCTCCAACTCGCTCTGGCTCCTCTTGACTTACATTGAAAAGTAAACTTTACTTGCTCAGTAAATGTTTGTGTCACACTCATTGTATAGTAAGAGTGGACTGACAGAGTGCTGACTTACTAGTGACGAGGTTCGCAATGGCAGTCACATGAAAGCCAGCAATACAGTATAATCATTTTAAAATAGACATCCCTCCTTATAAAAGTCAGGACTCTTCTAACTCCTATTTGTCATCTCCTGGTTTTTCTGCGGCACTCTTCTCAAACAGACCCTTTTCTCTCATATTAAACTTTGCCTTTTTAATATAGGGCCTTCTCCCACTGGTTCAACTGATTTAACCCTGATGCTGATGCCAGAGGCTCCTCCCACCCTGCATCATCAGCCAATCACACCTGCACTTCCTGCTTCCTCTCACCACCTCAGCACGTTTCATTTGGTTTTCATACGGATATGTTTCGTCTTAAAGCTGGGGTACCTAACCTTTTGTGTCAATAATGCATGTTGTTTGTTCCAACAGAAAGAGTCTTGGAAAAATAGAAAACTGAAGGAATAAGACCACACCATGCTGTCTCCATCTAATCAGAAAACATGTTATCTGTTGTATAAGAAATAGCCTTGTGAGTCACTATTTGACTCATTGGGCTGAGGGCTGATTGGCTGAGTTAGGAGGTCCTCTCTTTTTAACTTTTCTGTCTGAAAAAAACGTACAAAAGGCATAAATACATTAAAAAGCAAGTGATAGAAACAAACCAGAAATAGGATTTAACTTCTTAGTTATTTAAGTTACGTACCCCAGTCTTAAAGAGGTATTACATTTGATGTAGCAAAATTTGAGGCCTGAAAAAGCATTGAATTTGATAAAAACTACATTCACATTTGTATTCCAACAAAGCAAATTCAATGCTTTTTTGTTTCTATGTCATTCTGTTTGGTGTTTTTATTTGAAATGTTTCTTTACAAAATGCATGAACCTTTGTGTATTTTCTCTTTTCTTTTACAGCACTTTTAATCATCTCCCCTTCATCTCAAATCTCTTATTTTCCAGTGTCTAAGCTCTCCTCTCCTCTATTGTCCTCATACACAGACAGTCCTCTGTAAAGTAGTGACCAGATAGTGTTCACATAGTCCTCAATGTCGGCTGCATCCAAATTCAGAAAAAAAAGCTAATTCCCAATCCTTCCTTGTCTCAAGTTATTTATTTTGTAAGACATTGTAAATATGTTTTACATATAACTGTATTTCTAGCCAAGGGTTATTAGGCGCTACGTTAATTGTGCCTAAAATCTGTGGTCCACAGCAAAGCCTCTATTTTAAGTATTGTTTGTGCTAAAGGCACGCCCTGGAGGTTTAAGAGACAGGCGTAGGGAAAGTTCACGCATTCATATTTATTTCACTGTATCTAAATATAGCAGGCCACCGCAAGTGCCTGTTTTAAAAGGCATGCATAGTACAAACACTGAACTCCCTGTAATTGGATTTCTGGTCTCTCTCTCTGGTCTCTCTTTGGTTGGTCAGCATCTCTCTCTGGTTTCTTTCTCTGGTCTATATTTGGTGTCTCCCTAGTCTCTCTTTGAGCTCTCTCTCTCTGGTCTCTCTCTTGAGTTCACTCACACATGGAGAGTTTATGGACTGATTGACTCCAGTTTTAGAAGCAATGTGTTAACGTTTAGCGTCAATACACGTTGTTAAGGTAAGCGGCATGCTCAGGGCCTTACTATAATCCTGGTATTTTGTCTCCAGCAGAGGGAAATATCCCCTTTTTGGTGCTATTTGTGACTCCTAAAACACAAATTTAAATAAAGAGTAAAGTTTGGGGCAAGCTCCGTAAATGTAATTGTGGATAAGGTCAGGGTTAGCTCGCCTTCTGAAATACCAAGTGATCCCCGCACATATTAAATTGTAAATCTTCTGAGCATCCTCAGAGCTTCTTGTGCCATTTCGGTTACATGTACCTTACAACATGTAAATCTGCGGCTTGAATTCAACTGAGTTCTATTTATGTACAAAGTTCATTTTCTTTTCAAATGTAGCTAGTGCAGCACATTAACAGATGAGCTCAAACTCAGACAAGGAGTTTTGTGATTTTGTATGCAGCCGTTGTCTCCATTCCCCATTTCTCTTGTGCTTCTAACTGCTCCATCTCATGTCCCGTAGTGCTAACCGTATAGTCTCTCCCTGCACCCTTCCAGGCCGCTGCCCCCCCGTAGCCCTCTGGTCTGGGGGAGCCTGGTCCGAAGCCCTGGACTCGGACCGGACTTCGCTCCCCGCTGCTCTCCAGGAACACGCCACTTTATCGTCAATGCTGCTCAACCCACAACTACAACAACAAAAACTACTAGCACCCCCAGACTGTGAACCCGCCCCCAATCCCCTCCCGTCCAGTCAAGACTCTAACCCTGCCCATACGCAAAACCCCGCCCCCGACTGTGAACTTGACCGCTACCTCTTATCGTCCAACCGCAACGCTCCGCTGCTCCACCATCGGGACTCCATAGAAAACCTCAGAATTGCTGCTCTCTTCACCGCTGCTCAAAATGGACAAACGGGTAAGAAAGACTTAGGCTTGAATGTTACATAAAAACTCACTTTTCTCATATTTTGACAATTTTGGCTGAAGCTTGGCATTTCACTCCCTACTCAACTCTTTCTGGTTATGTTTCTCCATTGTAGACTTAGTGCAAATAGATAATAAACTGAATCTTGGATTTTGAATCTAATCGGTGCCAGGTACTTTTTAGTACCTGCTTGGCCCTGGTGCTTGGCCATGAGTCAATCCACATACTAAAGTGGAATGAAGAGCCGAGTAGAGTAGAGCCAAGTCGGGCTGGTGGAAACAGGACTATATTGCAGAAGATAAAATACCATGATTTCTAGACTGTGCCAACAACAGGAGCTAGAGCCAGCCGACGCCAAATCGGTTTCACCTTTGAGGCTTTGTTATTTTCCACGGCACACACCAACACCTGACGTGACTGCCATTTTGTGTTCGTTGGGTCCATCAGAGTAAACCAGTGTTATATGAAGTCACTTTCCCCTGGGGTTGAATCCGTCAAAAGCAGTGGACCAGATCTGAGCAACAATCCAGTATTCAGTCGTCTCAGCCACAGCTGAGGTTTTATTTGTATAGCACACTTCATGCACAAGGCAACTCAAGTGCTAAACAAAACAAGATAGACACAAAAAACATAAATATTTACCGTACATTGAAAAGAGTAAAGATAAAATTGTATGCACAGCTAAACAGAACAGTTTTTCACCTGGATTTGAACATTGACAAAGCCTGTCTTTTCAGGAAGACTATTCTAGATTTTAGCTGCATAAATCTGAAATGCTGCCTCCCCATGGTTAGTCCTGACTCTGGTCTCAGATGTACTTTGGTGCGAGGCCATGGAGAGACATGTAGACATGAATGTTTAGCACTGACCCCCAACTCGCTCACAGGCTTCTCATTTCCCCTACGCTCTCATCCTACGGAGCCATCTAGTTTTATTTACGATGAAATGGTACAAAAGCAACACACTGCTAACAAAACATATAACTGAAAGATTACCCCTAGTTTCGCGTCCAAATGTAGTCCGAGCATAGATAGTTTGAGGCAGTCCGCTCCCGCAGATCTCTCCAGACGATACGATGTAAGCTAACGCTACGTATATTCACCCGGGCTTGATTTCTTCTTTGATCATTTTTTCGCTTTAGTTCCTTCTTGTCTTCCTCACTGTTGCGTTGTTTGGGCATTCAGAGGTGCTAAAGCCGCGATCAGCTCCATTCTGCTCTGCGATATAGACGCTTAAGTAGGCAGCCTGTTCGTAACAGCGCCGCTCCTCGTTTCGTTGAGAGAAGGCCAGCGTCACGCTAATTTTCTACTCAGCACTTTTTACATCCTGAATTCAGAGTCAATGAGCTCAAGTTTTCAATTAAGTTACTGATTTTAATTAAACTTTTATGTAGTAATACGCATTTTTATGAACTCATTAGAAAATAAATTGGGGATAGCTTCTTTTAAAGTATTTTTTCTGAGCCATAGTGCAGAGGCCTGAGAACTGGACTAAATACCCAGTGAGCTGGCCGTTTCAGAAGTTTAACCCACTCCAGACAAAAGCATGGAGAAGAATCTCAAAGTCTGCTTTAGACACTATATTTTTGATCCTGGCGATGATGATCCTGTTAGATAAGCTGCGGATTTTACTGATATGATGTGGTTGTTGAAAAAGAGACTCGAGGTGACAGATGACACTCTCATTGTTTCTGGGGACCAAAGTCAATCATTTCAGTTTTGTTATTGTTGTGCTGAAGAAAAATGTGTTTTGCATCCACTCACTGATCTGTTGGATTCAGTGAAGGAACAATAACAAGAACCCTTATTCAACTGATCACATAACATGCAAGTAGACAAGTAGTTCATACACAAGGCAAATTAAAATGTGCTTTACAAAAGAAAAAAAAAAAAAAAAAAAAAAAGGAAAGTAAACATGACTGGGAATGTCAGTCACTTTTTTAATTGAGAAGGGAGAGATTTTCTCTCCAAAGCAAGCACCGGTTAGACCCATCAATTCACAATTACTTTGTATATACAGACTTTAATACAGTACACCAGCCATTCCCAAAGTCAGTAACCCCGAAGTAATAACCAAGAAGACAACGTTAAAAATAGGCTCTTCTCGATATTTTATTTGGGGTAAATAGCCTCTGCTTTGTAATACAAAAATGATTACAATTTGATTATTCAAGTCAATAAATGAACACAAATATTTTAATATTACAAACAAAACATTATTAATCTACAAAGTATATAAAAATGTTTTTTTTTTTTTTTATGACCTCTCGCGGCCCCCCTGCTGTACCCTGTGGACCCCACTTTGGGAGACACTGCAGTACACAAGCTGTGATATTATTTATATGTTGTTAATAAGAAACTCAAACAGTAGGATTTGTAATCTGGCTGATGATCCATTTAAGAACATTTATGAACATTTATTCATGGATATTGGTCATCTGGAGCACACCAGACTCTACCCATTTCCTCAAATCTTCAGGTTAAAACTGGACTCACCTGAGGAAATGGGCGGAGTCTGGTACGCTCTGACTTAAGGTGGAACTAAAATCTGCACAATGGCCCTTTGAGAACCTGTTTGACACCCCCTGCATGTGTTGTATATCATTGCATTTATTCAATCATCATTTAAATAAATATTATGCTGTTGTTTTCTCCCAAGAAATGGCTTTAAAATGATGTGCAACCTGCCATGGTCACCTGTATAAACCTCTTTGAAGTCTTTTGTTCTGGAAACACAAACATCTGAACCCTTTCTGGACCGGTCTCTCACTCTTTCCCCTTGTTCACACTCCCCGCATATGTCCTTATATGTTTGTCTCAGTGTAATATAGATACATAATCACAGCTGCTTTGAATACAGTCTGTCATCACGGAGCATGTAACTGCAAACACATGATGCTGTGGTGAAGACCTCAGATCTCAGCCGGTTTACTGCAGGCCGGGTTTCAGCAGGAGCGAGAGTAAACACCACAATCATATGAGACTGTTGGCTTTGGTGCTATTACAGGCCACATACATACATGATGGACCAGTTCACAGTTTCCAATATTAGCGTCGATGGACAACAACTCCAGGTCTGTTTTTGACAAGGGAACGATGTTGCAACATGTTTACAAACTAAATTTTGGATAATATGTCTCAATACAACTTCAGGCTATGACAGGGTTCCTACCATAGAGGAGGGGACTGACTTTGTGCGATTTGAACATAAGCTAGCTGGAGCCAGTTTACTTATGTGGGTATTTTCTTTCACAGTGTTAGCCTCGCACCATAACAGGAGCAGACATGTTGCTAATGCATTCTAGAGTTTCTTTCTCAAATTAAGGCATTTTATTGGTCAGCTGTTGAGTGTGATATCTCGATTTACAAAGACAATACACTCACAATAATAATATAAGCCCTTCCCTATTGGGCTTCATTGAATTAGCAGGTCAGCATTGTTAATTTGTATTCAGGCTATGGTTCCACAGGGTCTTTAAGAGTATTGAATTTGTTAATTTTAGAGATACGATCTTAAAAAGACTTGAACAAGTCTCGAATTTCAATATCTGGGTCTTAATGTTAGTGCCGTTTGTACCTTATATTTATTCTCCTGAAATGTTTCATTTGTAGACCACAATTATTTTGATTAAATTAAGTAACCTAACTCAACAGTGGTGGATGTGGTGCTACTCCGGCCCTTGTCCAAACTACAACACAACACAGACGCAAAAATCGTTTTCACATAGTTCTTTTTTAATCTTGCTGGTAGGTTTGTGAAATAAACTTTGGTAGTTATAAAGGGTCTTAAATGGGTCTGAAAAAGACTTGAAGACGAATACAGAAGTATAAAGACTGAACAACTGTCGCCCTCCTGCAGATCTGGTGGAGGAGCTGCTGTGTGCCGTCTCTGCTGATGTCACTGATCTGAACGGGTTCACTCCTCTGCACTTTTCAGCGGCTCACGGACACTCCAGGTGCGTTTCAAAACTACAGATATCTTTTATTGTGCTGCAAGCTTTATAAAGCCCAACGGGGAAGTCCTCATGGACAGAGTTTGGCTTCAACTCACTCTGACTCGTAATGATTTACATTTAAAAGTAAAATCCTCTTGCTCAGTAAACATTTGTGACACACTGACCATTTTAGCCTTAAAAATATCTGGTTTAGGTTTTTCTTCACTGGTCCTTCTGCTGAATGACTTTTCTCTGCATTGAGGGAACAGAGAAAATTAAAGGATTCTCTTGGCAAGGCTTACAGCCACCGAAAAGATGACTGCCACACCGTGGAAGACCCTTTACTAATGCCGCTTTTCCACAGTAAAATGCCGCTTATCCACAATAACGGTACGGTACGGCACGGCACGGTTATTTTGCCTTTTCACTAGGGTTGGGCTTGGGATCAGGGTACTTTTTTCGTACCACCTCGACAGTGGTTCCAAGTGTGCCGAAGCTACACCATAACGTGACGTCAGCCGACTGCCTTACACTGCCTTACTCAACCCCGCCATCTTTAAAACCGCCTGCTCTGCTATAACCATGGATCTATAATACGTCCTTCTCACTCGATAGAAAAAGCCCCAAAAGTCGATGTCCTGGACGGTCGACAAGGTCCACACGTTACTCTCTTTAAGCCTAAGGAAAAATTCAAAGGCAGCTCGACGGTTCAACACGGAACGAGAAGCTTTTCAGGGAGATCGCTCAGCTCTTGATTTGAGACTAGTCAATCTGAAGTGACCAAAGACACAATTAATACAATAAAATTATTTATTTATTTGGCGCATTGACCCCGGCAATGACAATTGCAGCGATGAGATCGATTGCAGCTGAAGATGATCTCAGATTCCCCGGGGTCAATCACTGATGGTGGCTCGAGTATGGTGTGAATGGGGCGTAGGCGGAGCAGGAGCCAGAGCAGGAGCCTAGAGCGGAGCCAGAGCGGGAGCCAGAGGGGGAGCCAGAGCAGGAGACAGACGGGGTGCTGGGGAGGTAGTGGGTGTTGAAGAGCCTCAGGAAGCGTTGCTTTTCAGGAAGTGGCTGCCTTTTAAACTGCCCGCTTTGCTGTGAGAGGGCTGGCAGGAGGCTGGCCAGGCTGTGTGATTGGCTGAGGCTCAGGGCTGACAGAGCTGTGTGATTGGCTGAGGCTCGAGGCTGGCAGAGCAGTGTGATTTGCAGGCTTGGAAGGGGGAATTTGTACTCGGTCTTTCAGTCTGAATATCCGCTTCAGCTTCATGTCTGTGGTAATCCTGGAAATAACTGGTTAGCTACATATCCCGTTGGCCCAAAGTTCTCAGTGAAATGTATTTACTCGTGTAAAAGTTTGATTGTCTGTTGTACACAGTCAGCTAGCTACATGTTACCATTCTGTTTTGTGCTTGTACTTGTCGTGTGTATATTTATTTGTTTGAGAATGCCTTATTACCGACGAGATGACCGCTCGTCCTCTCACCTGGTCTCAAGAGACATACGTACTTTGGACTTTGTAAATTGTTGGTTTTGCACTTTACTTTTGTTTTTAATAAATCTGTGATCGTATCAAGACTTTGTTTTATTAATTTGTCTGTACACATGCAGAAAAGGGCTTCAAAAGTTACGATTTCTACCACATTCTTTTACTTCTATTTACATTAATACATTAATTAATAAGGGAAAAATAAATGTTTAGGCATGTGATTTCTATCATTACTTTTTACTTCTTCTCACTCCTTTTTCGAGTTGATACTTACATTTACAATATATAGTGCCTTGCGAAAGTATTCGGCCCCCTTGAACCCCCTTCAACATTTCGCCACATTTCAGGCTTCAAACATAAAGATATAAAAAAATAAAATTTTGTCAAGAATCAACAACAAGTGGGACACAATAGTGAAGTGGAACAACATTTATTGGATAATTTTAACTTTTTTAACAAATAAAAAACTGAAAAGTGGGGCGTGCAATATTATTCGGCCCCCTTGCGCTAATACTTTGTTGCGCCACCTTTTGCTGCAATTACAGCTGCAAGTCGCTTGGGTTATGTCTCTATCAGTTTTTTCCACATTGAGAGACTGGAATTCTTGCCCATTCTTCCTTGCAAAACAGCTCGAGCTCAGTGAGGTTGGATGTAGAGCGTTTGTAAACAGCAGTCTTCAGCTCTTTCCACAGATTCTTGATTGGATTCAGGTCTGGACTTTGACTTGGCCGTTCTAACACCTGGATACGTCTATTTGTGAACCATTCCATTGTATATCTGGCTTTATGTTTTGGATCATTGTCCTGTTGGAAGATAAATCTCCGTCCCAGTCTCAGGTCTTTTGCAGACTCCAACAGGTTTTCTTCCAGAATGGTCCTGTATTTGGCTCCATCCATCTTCCCATCAATTTTAGCCATCTTCCCTGTCCCTGCTGAAGAAAAGCAGGCCCAAACCATGATGCTGCCACCACCATGTTTGACGGTGGGGATGGTGTGTTCAGGGTGATGAGCTGTGTTGCTTTTACGCCAAACATATCAGATCAGATTCAGATCATATTCATTTATTTGCCATTTTCAGTAAAACCACATTGGAAAAACTGTGCAAGACTACCCCAGTGTGCACCAGACGACATACACCAGAGCTCTTGCCACGGCGCCATCTTTACGGCGCCATGCGACAAACAGTAGAATAAACAGCAGAGAGCAATAACACACAGTTTCACAGACAATTGGATAGACACATTGTGCTTTGTATAAACCACAGATTTTTTTTCTCGGGATGAGCACCTCCGACTGCCGGCCCAATGTGGCTGTCAGAGGGGGGCAGGGTCAGGGAGGCGGTGAGTCGGAAACACAATGAGGAGTGGAGGGGAGGGAGGGAGCAATTGTGCAATCGTTTTGCATTGTGGCCAAAAAGTTCGATTTTGGTTTCATCTGACCAGAGCACCTTCTTCCACATGTTTGGTGTGTCTCCCAGGTGGCTTGTGGCAAACTTTAAACGGGACTTTTTATGGATATCTTTGAGAAATGGCTTTCTTCTTGCCACTCTTCCATAAAGGCCAGATTTGTGCAGTGCGCGACTGATTGTTGTCCTATAGACAGACTCTCCCACCTCAGCTGTAGTTATCTGCACTTCATCCAGAGTGATCATGGGCCTCTTGGCTGCATCTCTGATCAGTCTTCTCCTTGTTTGAGATGAAAGTTTGGAGGGACGGCCGGGTCTTGGTAGATTTGCAGTGGTCTGATACTCCTTCCATTTCAATATAATTGCTTGCACAGTGCTCCTTGAGATGTTTAACGCTTGGGAAATCTTTTTGTATCCAAATCCGGCTTTAAACTTCTCCACAACAGTATCTCGGACCTGCCTGGTGTGTTCCTTTGTCTTCATGGTTCTCTCTGCGCTTTAAACAGAACCCTGAGACTATCAAAGAGCAGGTGCATTTATACGGAGACTTGATTACACACAGGTGCATTCTATTTATCATCATCAGTCATTTAGGACAACATTGGATCATTCAAAGATCCTCACTGAACCTCTGGAGTGAGTTTGCTGTACTGAAAGTAAAGGGGCCGAATAATATTGCACGCCCCACTTTTCAGTTTTTTATTTGTTAAAAAAGTTTAAATTATCCAATACATTTTGTTCCACTTCACGATTGTGTCCCACTTGTTGTTGATTCATGACAAAAAATATATTTTTTTATATCTTTATGTTTGAAGCCTGAAATGTGGCGAAATGTTGAAAGGTTCAAGGGGGCCGAATACTTTCGCAAGGCACTGTACATTTATTTAAAATTAAAAAGTTATATTGAACTCGAAATAAAAACATTTCATTTCAAATGACAAAAAGTGACGCATCAGTGGTCTAACAACCCCTCCCACGCTGAGGAGATACTTGGAGCTACCATTTTTAATGGAAACGCACCTACACTCAGCCGTGCCGTGCCGTACCGTGACTACCGAAAAGCGGGATAAGTCGTTCTCTTTTTGTACAGATTTTCATAAAGTATTTTTGATTTCTGTCCAGAAATGGTGTATGTTTAGTCCGAAAGAAAAATCCTCTTTGTAAACTCAGATATTACCCCTAACAACTAACCAAACAGATGCCTTCTGTCCAAGAATTCAGCTTTATTAGGGAATAGTTCAAGTGGGAACAGACCAGCGTTGCTTTTAATTGGCTCTTTCGTTGAAAAATAATTTGGCTCCAGATTCTCACCCATAAAGCTTGTTGTTTTTAATTGGCTTCTTTCGTGAATAAGCAAAGACTATTCAATCAATCAATAATTTTGTATTTCTCCTCTTTGGTTTTATTCCTTTTGTTGTATGCTTATAACAAAGGAATAAAAACACATATAATGCACACATATAATGTGGGCCCCACCCTGGAGCCAGGCCTGGGGTCGGGGCTCGTATGCGAGCGCCTGGTGGCCGGGCCTTAGCCCACGGGGCCCTGCCGGGCTCACCCCGAATGGACGACGTGGGCAGTCCCTCCTGTGGGCCCACCACCCGCAGAGGGGTCCGTGGTGGCGAAGCGGTGCAGAGAGGACTGGGCAGCGGTCGAAGGCGGAGACCTCGGCGACCCAGTCCGCACACACAACAGCTGGCTCTTGGGACGTGGAACGTCACCTCACTGGGGGGAAGGAGCCCGAGCTTGCGGGGGAGGTTGAGCGATACCGACTAGAGATAGTCGGCCTCACCTCCACACACAGCTTGGGCTCTGGAACCCAACTCCTTGAGAGGGGTTGGACGCTCCACTTTTCTGGAGTTTCCCGCGGGGAGAGGCGGAGAGCTGGGGTGGCCATTCTCATTGCCCCCCATCTCAGCCGCCACGTGTTGGAGTTCTCCCCGGTGAATGAGAGGGTCGCGTCCCTCCGCCTCCGGGTGGGGGATAAGTCTCTCATTGTTGTGACGGCCTACGGGCCTAACAGCAGTGCAGAGTACCCGGCCTTCTTGGAGTCCTTGGGAGGGGTACTGGACGGTGCACCGCCCGGGGACTCCGTTATTCTCCTGGGGGACTTCAACGCCCATGTGGGAAACGCCAGTGACACTTGGAGAGGGGTGATCGGGAAGAACGGCCCCCCTGATCTGAACCCGAGCGGTGTTAAGTTGTTGGACTTCTGTTCCAGTCACGGTTTGTCCATCACGAACACCATGTTCGAGCACAAGGGTGTCCACCAGTGCACGTGGCACCAGGACACCCTAGGCCGGAGGTCGATGATTGACTTCGTTGTCGTATCATCTGACCTTCGACCGCGTGTCTCGGACACTCGGGTAAAGAGAGGGGCGGAGCTGTCAACCGATCATCACCTGGTCGTGAGTTGGATCCGCTGGCAGGGGAAGAAGCCGGTCAGACCTGGCAGACCCAAGCGTATAGTGAGGGTCTGCTGGGAACGTCTCGCTGAGTCCCCTGTCAGACGGACTTTCAACTCACACCTCCGGGAGAGTTTCTCCCAGGTCCCGGCGGAGGAGGAGGACATGGAGTCCGAGTGGACCATGTTCTCTGCCTCAATCGCCGATGCGGCGGCACGAAGCTGTGGTCGCAAGGTCTCTGGTGCTGGTCCCGGCGGCAACCCCCGAACCCGGTGGTGGACACCGGCAGTAAGGGATGCTGTCAGGCTGACGAAGGAGTCCTATCGAGCCATGATGGTTCGGGGGACTCCTGAGGCAGCTGTCCAGTACCGGCAGGCCAAGCGTGCCGCGGCCCGGGCTGTTGCAGAGGCAAAAACCCGGGACTGGGAGGAGTTCGGAGAGTCCATGGAGCATGACTATCGGTCGGCCTCGAAGAGATTCTGGCAAACCATCCGGCGCCTCAGGAGGGGGAAGCAGTTCTTTGCCAACACCATGTACGGTGCGGGTGGAGAGCTGCTGACCTCGACTGGGGATATTGTCGGGCGGTGGAAGGAATACTTTGAGGTTCTCCTCAATCCCCCCGTCACGTCCTCTGTTACAGAGGCAGAGGCTGAGGATGTTGGGGCGGATACATCCATCTCCCTGGCTGAGGTCACCAAGGTGGTTGGTAGCCTCCATGGTGGCAAGGCTCCGGGTGTGGATGAGATCCGCCCTGATTATCTAAAGTCTCTGGATGTTGTAGGACTGTCTTGGCTGACACGTCTCTGCAACATCGCGTGGCGATCGGGGGCAGTGCCAATGGAGTGGCAGACCGGGGTGGTGGTCCCTCTCTACAAGAAGGGGGACCGGAGGGTGTGTTCCAATTATCGTGGGATCACACTCCTTAGCCTCCCCGGTAAGGTCTACTCCAAGGTACTGGAGAGGAGGCTACGGCCGATGGTCGAATCTCGGATCCAGGAGGGGCAGTGTGGTTTTCTTCCCGGTCGCGGAACACTGGACCAGCTCTATACTCTCCATCGGATACTCGAGGGTTCATGGGAGTTCGCCCAACCTGTCCACATGTGCTTTGTGGATTTGGAGAAGGCGTTCGACTGTGTTCCCCGGGGTGTCCTTTGGGGGGTTCTCCGGGAGTACGGGGTCGGGGGTCCTCTGCTGAGGGCCATCCGATCCCTCTATGACCGGAACCAGAGCTGTGTTCGCATTGCCGGCAGTAAGTCAGACCTGTTCCCGGTGAATGTTGGCCCCCGACAGGGCTGCCCTTTGTCACCGGTTCTGTTCACTGTATTTATGGACAGAATATCTAGGCGCAGCCAGGGGTCGGAGGGGGTCCGGTTCGGAGACCACAGGATTTCATCTCTGCTGTTTGCGGACGATGTTGTCCTGTTGGCTCCAACGAACCAGGACCTGCAGCATGCACTGGGGCGGTTTGCAGCCGAGTGTGAAGCGGCTGGGATGAGAATCAGCACCTCCAAATCCGAGGCCATGGTGCTCGACCGGAAAAAGGTGCCTTGCCCTCTGCAGGTGGGTGGAGAGGTCCTTCCTCAAGTCGAGGAGTTCAAGTATCTCGGGGTCTTGTTCACGAGTGAGGGAAGAATGGAGCGTGAGATTGACAGGCGGATCAGTGCAGCGTGCGCAGTGATGCGGTCGATGTATCGGACCGTTGTGGTGAAGAGGGAGCTGAGCCGAAAGGCAAAGCTCTCGATTTATCGATCAATCTTCGTTCCCTCCCTCACCTATGGTCATGAGCTTTGGGTAATGACCGAAAGAACGAGATCGCGGATAAAAGCGGTCGAAATGAGCTTCCTCCGCAGAGTGGCTGGGCGCTCCCTTAGAGATAGGGTGAGGAGCTCAGTCACACGGGAGGAGCTCGGAGTAGAGCCGCTGCTTCTCCACGTCGAGAGGAACCAGTTGAGGTGGCTCGGGCATCTGTTCCGGATGCCTCCTGGACGCCTCCCTGGGGAAGTGTTCTGGGCACGTCCCACCGGGGGGAAGCCCCGCGGAAGACCTAGGACACGCTGAAGGGACTATGTCTCTCAGCTGGCCTGGAAACGCCTTGGGGTCCCCCCGGATGAGCTGGAGGAAGTGTGTGTGGATAGGGAAGTCTGGGCGTCTCTGCTTAGACTGCTGCCCCCGCGACCCGGCAACGGATAAAGCGGAAGAAAATGGATGGATGGATGGATGGATAATGCACACACACACTATCTACCTAGTTGATGCCACATTTTGTATGTGGTTTCTGTTGTTGTTGCAATTTCGTTATTACATAGTTTTGTATTTTTATTAGTATGTTGATGTATGATATTTGAGCTAATACAGTATAGAGTTCAGACTCTAAACCTGAGTGAGTGTGATCTTACACAGAGCTGTGTTTTGAGAGCTCAGAGCAGCTGGAGTGACTGTTCATATTTTGGATTGGGAATGTAATAAAATCGATGTCACTATAGTTGCTGGTTCTAAAATAGTTTTAAGATTAAGAGATCCTATATTCGTCCCACATTCGGGAAATTGTAGTGTTAAAGAACATTAGCAATGACGAGCACAAGACAAGTGAAAAAAAACTCTAACTTTAGCACAATAAAGATGTACGTATAAAATGATTTATATTCTACAGCAAGAAATATATAGTTGTTTGTTTACATTTGTACATGTTTGCAGTGTATGGGCTAAAGTGGCAAGTAAAGTAACAGTAGACACATGTGGTTCTATATTGCATATTCTGACATTATTTCAAATTATTGCACAGATGCACGACATGTGAGGTCAGGTCGATAGTGTTCGTTAGTCTTCCTTGTTCATTGTACAGTCTGACAGCAGCAGAAAAGACGCAACCTCTCCTACTCACAGCGTGGGTGGAGAAGTCAGGATTCCCAATTATTATGAGTAAGGCCTGAGGATGCTGCATCTGGAGGTCACTTACCTGGATCGCATAGCATCGCAATCACTTTCTGCTATGGCAGATGGGGGTATGTAGACAGCACTAAGCTTAGAATAACATAGTCCAAATCCCTGTGGCAGGTAGTATGACCGCACACCAAGTTTGCCTCTATCACTAGTTTTTACATCATGTATGTTCACAAACACGCCAAATAGTGACTCCCAGAGCTTTGTGTTGTGTGTTGCAGTTGTGTGTCGGCGCTACTGTCCTCTGCTGACGTGAATGTGCTCTCTTGTGGAGGGTGCTCTGCTCTGTTTGTGGCTTCAGAATCAGGACAAAGTCACTGTGTGCGACTTCTGCTGGAGGCTGGAGCTGACCGCAACCTAAGCACCACTGTGAGTATAGTACTGATGATAATGTGATAAACATGTGAGTATACTACTCCTGCTGCTGATAAGGTGATAAACATACTACTGCTGCTGAGAATAATTTGATAAACAAGTGAGTATATAGTAGTTATTATAGTTTTCTACAACATGTATGGACATTTATCAACATTCATGGACAATGGTCATCTCCCCCTTTGGACCAATACATATGTGTCCTATATTTTTTATCCGGGAACTTTTGATTCTCTGATCTGTGTTGGCGATTTCATCGGTTTTGTCAAGTCCTCTGAGATAACAACTGTTGTGATTTAGGGCTATACAAGAATAAATTAAATTGAATTGAGTGAGCTTAATACTGCTGATAATAGGATAAACATGTGAGTGTACTACTACTGCTTATAATAATGTGATAAACATGTGAATATACTACTACTGCTGATAATAGTGTGAATATAACATATTAAATACAGTGATAACCAAGCTCCTGAACATGTCCCACTGATTGTATTTCAAAAGGATCAGAATAAGTAGTACGTTCACAATCCGCTTACTATTCGGTTGATTCTCAAATTGTTCTGATGAGTTCTGGTCCTTTATTTGCGCCGCAGAGAAGCCTCTTGGCTCCAGACCTAAGTCTATCAAAGGTGTCTAAGTATCTGGTTTACTCAGTTACGTGCACCAGCTCCTCCAAACAGACTGTTTTTCTTCAGGCACAGGGCATATAGGGCACATGGTCCTACATCCATCCAATTACATACATTTCTAATATCAGCACAGCTTTTCCCTGCACTCTTAAATGCTTCTGCTGGCCTTGTTTCAATGGTATTCAATATACATTCAGTGTAAAGACAGTAGAAACGGTTCAATCGAAAGTGGTTAGCACTCATGGTTCGATTCCACCTCAAGACTGGGCCTTGTTTGGAGTTTGCATGTTCTCCCCGTGTCTGCGGAGCTTTGACATCACAAAAAAATTTACAATAGTTCAGAGTGTATGAGTGTGACTGTGGGACTATGGAGGAAAATTAGCCCAAAGCGACAATGTTTGTCTTGTTCAAACTAATTTAATTGGACGAGGAGAGAACTCTGGTTTCATTAGTGCTTTGTAAACCTACTCTGTTGAAAAAGTAATCCCCCTGCAGAAATGTGACAGCCCTAAAGTTGTCAAAACAAAAGCTGGAGCTGGTGCTGTTGGTACTCAGCATACAGTATATGGGAAAAACCAGAGTGAAACTCAGACTGTGTATATAGACAGAAATGATAATGTCAGCTCAATGAAGCCCAAAAGGGAAGAGCTCGTGATCAAAGTTTTGCTCCAATTCACTCTGGCTCATATTAACTTACATTGAAGAGTAAACTCCTTCATTAACTGTTTGTGTTGTACTCCCTATTTTGGGCTTGAAAAATCTGTGATCCTGGCATTTATATTTTAATATTGTCTTTGTAAATCCAGATATGAGCTTTTTAAGGATTGATCAATCTGATGCCTTAATTCGCGAGAGAAATCATCATCTTGCCTTAGCTGCCATCTTAGCAACACATCAGCAAATTTACAGTTTGCTGAAACCATGTGAGGATCAGCTCTGCAGTGTACTTTTGCAGAATCCAAAATCATAGAACTGTAGATCTTAGGAACAGGTCAGAAACTCAAACAGTCGGCTGTATGCTTTGAGCTACTGAACAGATGTCAGGATTTCACACATGCTTAAAGGCTTGAATTGTACTTTTTTAAAGCGGCTACGTATGTCATCATATGCATTGTATTTTACCTGCACCTGTGATATGGTCTCCCCTACCCAGATTGGTGGGCTGCAACCCCCTACCAGCCTGGAAGATTTTCCAATAGATGTTAATGTTAAAACTGCTCGTCCTCAGCTGAGAGGGAACGTAGAGTTTTCACAAAGAATTTTGTGTGGATTTTAGTGTCCTGTTTAAAAAAAAAAAAAAAAAAATCTATTGTTTTTTTTATAAATCTACATTGGCTCCCCTTTGATCAACGCCGCTTTGAGGAACGCTCACATGTCCCCCTGTGTATGAGCATGAGAGCAACGTGAGCAAGCGCAGCCGTCCACAGTCAGCTTTGATTGGTCAGAGCGCTCACGTGTTACTGTACTCTGGTTCTGCCAAAGTAGAACCACTGCACAAGACCGGGAGAACCAGAGCTGGCCAGAACACCTCACTTTTGGAAATGTTTGGGACGTCCATGGTGCGAGCATGGAGCCAATGAGCACAAAATATTAACCTAAAATTTCACAACACGCACTTTCACTCTTACAGTTAGTCCAGAACTCCGCGGCACAACTTTAAAAAAGGCTTTTTCCCTGATTTTAGCTTCTTTACACTGGCTTCCTGTTAGTTTTAGAATTCATTTAAAGATTTTATTGTTTGTTTGTAAAGCTTTGAATTGACTGGCCCCACAGTACGTCTCGGACCTCATCCAGATTTATCACCCGGGGCTGAGGTCCGAGGACCAGCGCGACTTTAAGACGAGACTTAAAGTTTTACTTATTTTTAAATTGGAAAACTGGTATTTCCTAGTTTTTATTACATTTCAATTGTTTTTACTTCATACATAATGTTTTACATATGGAAGTGGATATATATAATATTCCACTTCCACCAATGTGTTTCCCACACGTTAGAGATGCCCTGATCCAGCTCTGCTCATGTCCGTTTCTGTTATTGTTAATACTTTGTCTTCACTGTCTTGTTAATACTGGATCACGATCATCTGGAGCTTAACTTTTTCATTATATTTACTTTTTATTTTATTTATCTATAACAGTGAATGTGACATATTGTGCTTTGAGTCCTCTTTCTCATTCTCTGTCAGAGCATTGTGAGCTTCTTCCTGAAGGCCTCTCTGTCTCTCACCCCTCTCTCCTCGGTCTCTCTTCTCTCTCCTCTTCTCTCCTTTCTCTTCGCTCACTTTCTCCTCTCTTTCCTCCACATTCCTCTTTCTTTCTCCCGTCCCTTACTTTCTCTCCTCTCTCCTCTCTTCTCCATTCCGCTCTCACATCTCTCCATCTCCCCTCTCTCTCGTTTCTTCACTTCTCCCTCCTCTTTCTCGTTCACCCTCTCCTCTCCTCTCTCTCTCTTCTCTCCACTCTTTGGTGAATAGCGCTCTGTCTGAATCCGTGCTGCTTCCTGCGTTGCCACGGTAACGTGCCGGATGCTGTGGTTGCCATGGCGCGGTGATGACGGGGCCCTCTGTTTCACATTTGACACAGATTCACTTTTATTCAGATGATCCGCTATGGAGCTCTGGGCACAGATCCACCGCTTCCAAACACGATGCCGAGGCTCATATATATATGGAACCCAACACCAACGTACTAATACAGCTTTTTGTTTGGTTAATGTAATAAAGATGAAGCTTTATTTTATCACATAGAGAACAAGCATTCTGCAGTGTTTGCTCTGAACTATGATCTATTTACTTAAAGAAATCAAAAATATGTGGATTTAACATGTACCTATATACTGGACTATAGTGAAACTCCTCCATCTATTGGTAGAAGTGGGACATTACACCCTGCTTTTATCATTTTAAATCTAACATGTTGTGGTCTGATTTTAACAAACGTAATTTCCCTGGAGAAGATAAGAGAATCTTTATTTATCAACAACAACATTTTGGATTTTTTTTGCCAAAACTAATTCTCCTCTCCTCTTGTCTTCTCTAACTCTCTCAGTTCTCTCTCTCACGCTCTCTCCTCTTTCCTCTCTCTTCTCGTCTTTCTCCTCTCATCTCCCTCCTCCTCTCTCTAACTCTCACTCCTCTCTCTTCTCATACTCTCTCCCTCACTCTCTCTCCTCTCTCGCTTGTCGGTGTGGAGTTTGCATGTTCTCCCTGTGCTTGCCTTGGACTAGAACTATACCTCTTGGCGTCCTTACTAGCTGTGGTTGTGTGTCTAGGACGGCTGCAGTCCTCTCCACGCTGCGGTGCGCTCAGGAAACCTCGATGTGCTGCGTCTGCTGCTGCACCACACGGTTGAGTCTGTGGCCCCGCCCCCTGACCATGTGGCGCCATCCCCTGTTACAGCGGTTACACTGCACGTCTCTTCTGAGCTGCTGAACCAAACAAACGCAGAGGGATGGACCGCCGCCCACATCGCTGCCGCGCACGGACACAAGGTCACTCTCAGAACCTCCCCAGGGCTTCAGATGTTGTGATTTCTTTTATAGACTACTTTTTTATTTCATTTTTAAAAGATTTTTTATAAACATTTTATTAAACAATACAGAAAAACGAGTTGTTTGTGTGTATGTGTTATATACTACTTGTATAGTTGTGTATATAAATAGTATAGTCCCCCTATACTCCACATATATCACGTGTGTCTGTGATCTGTGTGATGGCAGGAGTGTTTGGAGGAGCTGTGTTCTCATCGTGAACAAAGCCTGGACCTCAGAGACCAATGGAACCGGACCATCCACGACGTGGCCACAGACGACTGTAAAGAGCTGCTGGAGAATCTGAGTAAGACAAGGGAAGACCAGGCCTGAACCAGGACTAGAACAAGACTGAAGTAGGACTAGACCTGGACTGAAGCAGAAGTAGACCAGGGCGGAAGCAGGATTAACCCAGGACTAAACCAGGAGTAAACCAGGACTAGTACAGGGCTAGAACAGGGCTAGAAGAGGACTGAAGCAGGACTAAGCCAGGACTGAACCAGCACTAAACCAGGATTAAACCAGGACTAAACTAGGATTAAACAAAGGCTAAACCAGGACTGAATCAAGACTGAACCAGGACTAAGCCAGTGTTCTCTGTTGCAGCTTCGTACCGCGTCAGCGTGTGGCTGTCGTGCAACACGGCTATGGAGGTCCCTGCTCCGGTCCCTGCTCTGGTTCCTACTCTGGCAACCGGTTCTTTGGTCCCAGCGGGTCACCTGGACCTCGGCCGTGTGGTGATCAACCGGGACTCCACCTGGTCCCAGATCTGGACTGCAGTAGTCCGTCTCTTTGTGGCCTTTGTCTGTTCTCTGTGTGAGAGTCCGGATCTGGACCAGGATCAGGACAGACCTTTGGGACTCAGCCACTGCAGCGTCAAGTCCATCTGCATAGGTGAGACTCATTACAAGTATCACATTATGTTCAGAAGACATGACAAAAGAATCCTAGTTCAATAAGGCCCAGTCCAGACGTCGACGGGACCAAGTTTAGATCTGAAACTGCATTGCACACAGACAAAAGAAACTGTTTTATAGCATAATAAACTGGGGATGTTCCTTAGTATAGGAAGTCCTGTTCAGTCTTTTTTACAGTCCTGGTTCAGTCCTGTACAAGGTCTAACCCCTGTGTAGACCTGCACTGTAAAGAATTTCCTTGTAGAAAAACGGTAAATAGCTGGCAAATATGGTTCCAGGAATTTACCGTTTTCTCAACATGGCATTACCGTTGCTAATTTTAACGGTTAAAGACTGTTTCACTGAATCACATAATGCCTTTGTGATTTCAGGATTTTTACTGTATGTTCCTGTTATTCACATACAACAAAAACAGCATTATAATTTTGTATTATTACACCATATGACTGTTTCTGTTTCTAATTAGTTTCATTGAACAAAAAACTACACAGTTTAATTTGTTTTTCTTTAATGAATACAACTTTTCAAGTTTATGTTAAATTACGGTAATAATACCATAAGGTTTATGGTATTGTAACGTTTTATTGTAATCACATTATAATTGTGGTAATAAAACGCCACTGGATGTTTTTTAACCAATTTATACTTAAATTTCCATCGATCCATCCATTTTCTACCCTTCATACTTAAATTTGCGTGTTTGAATTGTTTTTCAAAATAACATTTGTTTAATGTTGAAATTTCATTGTAATTTTACAGAAATTTGTTACAGTGTGGTTTAGTCCCTGTTTAGACCTGGTCCAGTCCTAGCCTGGCCATAGCCATCCGTACACTCCGCTCACTCCGCTCAATCATCATTTCACTGCATGTAACCGTCTGGGTCTGGTCCCTGTGTTAGCGATTACAATCGGTCGTATTTCGACCGGCTACTCAGAGAGCGCGGAAGGCGGGTGTTGTAGGTCGGTGCCGGTGACGTCAAGAGTTTGCGCAGAACGGGCAGGTTGTGGTTTGGGAGTGGCGAAGAACGCGATAGTAAAGTAATCCGGTCTGGTTCTATCAAGAAATTGAAGCAGGAGCAAGAGGAATGTTTAGCAAATGTAATCGATGGGTCAAGATTGTGGCGCTACTCCCCATGGGCTCCGTTAGCAGCTAAATGCTAACAACACACTCGGGCACACTACATACGTCATGGTAAACTCAGATCCAATCGTTTCAATCTGCAAAAGGAGTTAACCCCTCCCACCTGTTCACGGAGCTCAATGGAGCACCTCCAGACCTTAGTATGAAATTTGTACTAAGGTGTGGTACAACCAGGCTAGGTCCAGTCCTATTATTTATCCCTTATTATTTTTTTTACAGAAACCCAATATTATGTGAGATGTATTTGATCCTTCTGGTCCAATCGGAGCAGATGTCTTTCATGAATTACAGATCGTCTGCCGTCCTTCTGTCACATGTTACGTTTGAATCATTCATGAGTCAAACATATGTTCAGGAGGAGTCTGCGTGAAGACAGTTAAAATAGTTAAGACGTGATTTAGTCCTTGGTCAGACCTGGTTCAAACCCTGGACAAGCCTGTTTTAGTTCAGGTTTAGCCGTGGTCCGGACATGTTTTAGTCCTGGTTCAGTCATGTGTCAGACCTCGTTTAGTCCTCAACAGACTGCTCATAGAGTAGACAGAGAATGTTTGAATACCTTTACCTTTACCACTTCATGGAGCTACATATATGTTCCAGGCTTTAAAGCTGGGGTACCGTTTTTGTTGTTGTCAGACCACAACATGCTCTCTTCATCTAATTACAAAACATTTTATCTTTTGTCTTGTTCATCTTGTCATTTGAATTGAAATGATTTTAGTACTTCATCAATTTTGGAGTTTTATCATCCAATTTCTTCTATAAATATGTTTGTGGTATGAAGTCAAAGCCAAAATATGAGTTGTTGCCGTGTTACCTCACCAGAAGTGAGAGTTTTGTGGATCAGGATTCATAACCATGCGTTTGTTCATTTTCTTTTGCAGGAGATAGAGAGTGGTCTGTGGGGGAGGAAGTATCACTCCTTCCCTGGGATCTGGTCCGGAAACCACAGAGTCCAAATGTCCTGGTCCAGCTTAAAGGTAACATTGAAGGACTGAACCATGACTGAACCATGACTGAACCAGGGCTAAACCAGGACTAAATCAGGACTGAACCAGCACTAAACCAGGACTAAACAGAACTAAACCAGGACTGAACCAGGACTGAACCTGGTCTAAACCAGGACTAAACCAGGACTGAACCAGGACTTAAAAAGTACTGAACCAGGACTAAACCAGGTCTACCCAGGATTAAATCATGACTGAACCAGGACTGAACCTGGTCTAAACCAGTAATAAACATGAACTGAACTAGGACTAAAATGAGAGTAAACCTGGACTGAACCTGGTCTAAACCAGGACTAAACCAGAACTGAACCAATACTCAGGCAGGTCTATTTCAGCACTCAGCCTACAATGCTGGTGGTGGTTTCTCTGGTTGATTTTTGGACGGCAGACACAGACATTTTGGCAGAAGATTTCTGGCAATCAACCGTTTCCAAAATGATCCTGTGTTCTGAATTTGCTTTGTTCACAACGAGCCAAAATCACAGTGTCCTCCTCGTTAACAGTAATTAGTCTTGTTCCCCCGTGGAGACAGAGATGATCCAGTCCGGCTTCAGCCACGCTAAGATCAGAGCTTTTCTAATATCTCATTATTATTATTAGCGGTGGCCTTTGAGAGCGTTCCTCTGGTTTGAGTGATTCAAAAACTGGGGTCACTTTAAAGTACTTGTACACAAACTATGCATCTTGTATTAGCTTTAACCCATGTTTCCTCATAAAAGTCAGACCTGGAATTGCATTGCAATTTAGTAATTGCTGGACAATACTGGAAAAGCTGTTATCTGAACTTAGAAGCATGGCTGACAACAATTCTCCTTTTTATGTTTGCTTGTCAACTGCAAAGTATCTATCCATTTTTCAAAAATAATGGGGTAGAGGCAAGGAATATAGAGAGAATATAGCCGGACTGAAGCAGGGACTAAAGCGGGTCTAAAGCAGGTCTAAAGCAGGTCTAAAGCGTTGTGTATAGTCGCGCAGTGCTGGTTACGTTTGCGGTTGCGCTGGACCTACGCAGCCACAGTTGCTTGTACACTCGTGTGTTCCCCCTGCAGAGTTTTGAAGAGAATGTTGTAATCCCACACCCAACCACATGGCGGCGATCTCACAGGAGTTGCTAAGGACACCTAGCAACTGTCCTTTTCAGAACAGAAGCAATAGCAAACCAAGCTGTTTGAGCTGAGATGTGTATCTAGACGTTGGTTTGTTTGACAGTTCTATGGACTTCGAGTTATTATTAGATTGTATTCAGCACAAACAGCAAAACAATATTTGATAAATATCTGAGACAAACATGAACTATTTACAAGTGCAGGATGAATGCAACAGACCCGATAAGCTACGAGTGCAGATTCAAACAAAGACAGGCACAGGAGTAGTGCAAAAGAAAAAAACTGTACAGTTTATAAGTTCGATATATGTTAGATATGCAACAGAACTGAACAGCCCACAGACTCCCCGTATATCAGGCTTTTGAGTCATGAGCCCTAAACTGCTTTTCCTTCGGTTCCTTCGAATCATGAAGCAGTCTGCTCCCAAGTGCCTCATCCATGTTCCCTGTTGCTACTCCAGGCTTCCATCCAAAATACAAACGGACCAATCACAGCTGCGTAGTTAGACATTGTCGAGGGAGCCGGAGTGGCTACGAAAGGGTCTTACAGTGATCCTTGCGTTGGTCAAGTGAGGTCACGTCACCACCGTAAGCGCCGCGCCGCGCGAACATACACTAGACTTAAAGCAGCTCCAAACCAGCACAACAGCAGTACTAAAGTGGGAAATAAACCTGGATTACACCAATGTACTTTAACTGATGCACAGTAACTGATGTCTTGTACTTTTCAGGTGTGCAGGAGTCCTGTCTGGATGAAGTCGCCCTCTTCTCTCTGATCCCTCTGTCCACTCTCAACAACTATGTACGCCTGGTAAGTTATAGCAGCAGTGCAGTAGTATCAGCAGTAGCGGTATCATAAAAACTTGTTCATTCTTAGGTGGAGCAGTACGGGAACCTTATGCTTCATGGAGTTGAGGGAAGTCTCCAGGAGAACATCGCTGCTGCTGTCGCTCACTGCATCAAAGTAAGAAAATGTTTTAAACTTGTATGAAAGAGCCCTGTGAGTCTACAATATACTCTCTCGGCTGAATGAGGGTGGTCTTCTCCATGTCAGGAGCGGGTGACATGGTATGATTTAGTTCAATTGATATGGTTTGAAAGTTAGGCAATTTAAAGCCAGCTCTAAATTGTCTTATTATTTTATTAAAAGGACAGACAAAATTCTTGTCCAGGTTTAGTCCCTGTTTTAGTCCTGATTCAAAACTGGTTTGTCCTGGTTTTGTCCCTGCTTTAGCCCTGGTTTAATCCGTGTTCCGTCTTGACCCAGACTTGTTTTAGTTCCTGTTTTATTTTTTATTTTTTTTAATGTATTGATTTATTTGATAGGGACACGTGTATTCAATGAACATGTGAAACACTACACACTGAACTGAAATCCCTGTTCAGTTATGGTTCAGACAGGTTTAGTCGCTGTTTAGACTTGGTTCAGACCTGTTTTTTCACTTTTTTTCCGTTTCATTATGTTGCATCACACACTGGCAAATGCAACTGGCAAAAAAATAGATTTCCCATGATCCTCCTCTGTGTATCCTGGCTTTCCTGTATGTAGATTTGTAGTTTTATTCATGTATTTTGTTCATGTTTCTTTACAGAAAAAGCAGGAGGCTCTGGGTCTTCCCTGTGATCTGTTCCGAGTTCAGGTGGACTCCAGTCTGACCCGAGACCAGCTCCTGGACTCCTTCATCCAGGCCGGTACGGGGCACTCTTATAGACTGGTTATTACTATAACCACAGTAGAGAGGCCTGGAGATAGGCTTTCAAAGTCCAACCAAGATGGAAAAATAGGCTTCCAATTAAAATGTCGTATTTAAAGTGAGCTTTCTATGAGGAAATTTTGCACAACATTTCTGCTTGTAAACAACAGCAGTTTGAATGAGGAGACATCGCCTTCTGCTGCTCAGTCTGAGGATACAGGCTGTTGAAGACAGTAATGTGTGCTTATTATTATGTCAGACCTGGTTTAGTCCTGGTTCAGACCTTGTTCAGTCCTGGTCCAGACATGGTTAGTAAAAGTGAAAGATTATTGTCTATCATTGCCTGTTAAAAATAATAATGAGACTATTTACTTTGTTCCTCTATTTATTAATGCTCTGTCTGAAAAAGCCGATCTAAAGATATGACAGAGACTCAAAGTTGCTTTTACACGTGTTACTGCAGGTCTGCTGGTTCCTGTGGGCTCAGAGGGCAGCACTCGTGTGATAGTGACAGTGGAACACCTGGAGAGGGCGCTGTCCCTGTGTGCGCTGATGGGAGATGTCTGCTACAGTCTGGACCACAGAGGACCCCAGCACATGGTCCAGACCAGAGCAGGTACACAAGGGTCTCACTTTTATCTGTAGTGGAGCTTAACAGGGCTGAAGCTCTGTCTGTGGTGACGATGTACATGTAGGGCTGCTGGATTTTTAAGAAACATTGAATATATAGCATCATGTTTTAGAATTGTATTCAATATTTCAGCAGGTGCCAATAGAACGCTATGGGAAAGAAGCAATTTTCGAAAGAGAAAATGTCCTTTCCCAGATAATTATTTGATCGTGATTGGATTCACAATACTGCCAGAGACCAGATAGAGGGACCAGATAGAAAGAGACCGGCGATTCCCTATGTCTGAAAGTGCTTTCTGGTAACCAACATCATGCATATATTTTGGAATAGTGTCACCACTTCCATGCAACTTTTATGAGAAAATAATGAGGACATAGTTGAGAGAGAGACCAGAGAGAGACTATTGTTGATATGTGCTGACAAGGAAGATGTGCAACTTGGGGACACTTTTTGTTTCATATGGATTGTTCCAGGAATTTCAAAAAAACAGCTCTAAACTAAGACTCAGACTAAGAATCTGAATTTTCACAATCACCATGTTTGTGATTGGCTACTTGAGGCCACCAAAATTGGAACTTCTACCCATGAAAATCCTTCCTATTTGTCCGTGTGCAGGCCCTCATTGGCTGGTGGAGGGCGGTTACATCATCACCACGCTGTCTAAGCCCCGCCTCCAGGGCCCAGAGCTACGCCTCCAGCAGCACCTGCGCTGGGTGTCTCTTCGCTGGGATCAGGAGCCCACATCCGGAGCCCTGCAGCGGTGCCTGAGGGCCAGAATACAGGTAAGGGAGATTTACTATCTGTACAGTTTGTTTTATTTGATCATTCTCTAAAGATTATGATTACCGCAAGCAACTTTTGGTCTCTCTCGCATCTCTCTCTGGTCTTTCTTTATCGGCACATGTAAACTCCGCTAGTATAACATGACAGTTACCTTTATCTACAGTCAGAAGAATTCTTTTGTGTCTTGTGTGAATTGCAATGAATGACTGATGACTACCGCGGTCTTCCCGGAGCCCTCAGTCCTGCTCCTCTGCAGCAGTGTGTAAAGCATGTGTAAGGGTTTTAAAGCCTTAAAACATACAGCTGCTACTTCAATGATTTCACTGATTATTAGTTATTTTTAGAACATTACCCCACGATAAACCAGGGACCACTGTATTTCAAAGTATTGTGTTAAGCTAAAGAAGGAAATTGTTTCAGGTAATTCAGCATTTACTTCTTTGACAAAGTGGAGCGCCACCTGCTGGTGAATGCCGGATCCCATCAGACTTCTAAAGCTAAGCAGGACAGGGCCTGGTTAGTATTGTGGTGAGAGACCTCTGGGAACTCCAGGTGCCACAGTGGTCGGCTGCAGTGGTAAACTGTGATTGTGTCTTTAGGCAGGGCTCTACACCCACATGGCCTGGAATGAGTCTGGTGTCGGCATGAATGGGCGATGGCACACACTCGCTCCTGTCAGTGTGCTCCAGGGCAGCTGTGGCTGCAGTAGCTGTTTATCACCACTGTGTATGGAGTGAATAATGAATAATGAATGAATAATGACACGTGAAGCGTCTTTCAGTGTCTATCATTATTATTATAATTACTATTATGAGGTCCTGACCCAAAGGCATGAGTAAAGGTTTGTCACATATCAGAAGGCTCTCAGCTCATTAGTCTAAAGCTGCTGCTGTTGTTGGTGTTGTTGTGTCCAGGCTGCTGCTGGGTCACATGACAGTTTGCTGCAGCGCTCTGCATTGTGGGTAGCACGGTTCTGGCAGCATTTGAACTCGTGTCTGTGTCGTCTGGGAACCACAGAGGCTCTGATCGGCCCCGAGCTCTTCATGACCTGTCCTCTGTCCAATGAGGAGGACTTAGTGAGGTAACACTACCCTTTAAAACTGTGTGAAAGAATCTATTGAAGCTGGGGTACCCAACTTTCAAGCCACATAAACAGTTTGCTTCTATCATTGTCACTTTTCACACGCATGTGCTTTGGTTTCTGTCGCATAGTTATATCAGCTTTTTCAGAAAGAAAAGCGAAAAAGAGAAGACCACCTTCACTCAGGCAATCAGTTCTCACCCGAATGTTTCACAGGTCTATAACACAGTTGTATATAATGTAGCTTTACTTGAGAAATTCAGATTCATTGGTGTTTTTATGAAAGATTGACACATTTATTTATCAATGATTAGAATGTAATGTTTTCTGCCAAGTCAATCCTTTCTTTAAAAAAAAAAATACATAATTTAGTTTATTTTAGTTTATTTGACTATTTGGGCAGAGAGCTGATTGAGGGTGGTCCTCTATTGTTCACATTTATCTCTGAGTAAGCTGTGACCGAGGCCAAACATACATGCATGTGAAAAATTGTGATAGAACTGTTTAGTGAACCAACTGTTTTAGGGCGAGGAACTAATGACCAGTGTTGGTGGTTTGAAAGTTGCGTACCCCAGCTTTAGTTTAAGATGGAATGTGCTGTGAATGTGATTGTATTTTCACAGGTTTCTCTGTGTCCAGTGGAACTCTGTAGTGGTTCCTCGAGTGGAAGAGGCCATCATGTCCAGAGTGTCCCCCAGACGCTCCTCCCTCAGCACCACCGCAGGCCCAGAGCTGTGCATCATGGGACAGATGGGGGGGCCCTCACCGGGACACAGAGCTCTGATAAAAGCAGCTCTCAGCATAATCCTTAACCGGGCTCTGCTGCAGGATTGTCCCATGTCCAGATTAGGTGAGGGAAACACCGCACTTTACAATGGTCAAAAAACTGATGTCACTCTCTCGTCCAATCTAATTCAATTTCTACTGCATTTACGCTGCTTGTAAGTGACGGCAGATGGATTTAAAAGCACAGAAAAAAGCCATGTTTATAATCGAAATCTATGTATTTGGACCATAGACCGTATATCAGGAGTAGAATGACCGAGTGTGACGTCAACATAGGGTTTGCTTAACCTTGCCCTTTGAGTAGTGCTGTAGTATTATTTTATTGTTCAGTTTGATTAGACTTTAGCCCCATTTCCTCTAGTTTTTCTCGACCCTACTTTATTCTACTTGGTTGTGTTTTCGTTACACTTAGTTACCGTACGTAGTAACCTACCCACAACAAACCAGTATCAATGAAAATTCCTTGTTAGCTATGACTTGCAGCAGCATTCTGACCAATCACTGTCAGTTAGAACACTTTAGTACCAGCTCTGCCTGGATAGAACCAGGGCCAAGAGGAACTAAAGAAGAACCTGGCAACGGTTAAACAGGGCTGGTGGAAACACTCCCAATCGGAGCAGAGCAGAGCAGAGGGATAATATGAGCTACATGCCGTGTTATACCTCATTTTAAAGCAAATTCTCTCTCAAAAAAACATATAATCTATTGTGTTCTAAAATTAGAACTTAGTTATGTTTATTCAAAAATATAAATCAGTGGTCAATCCTTTAACTTTGACCCAGTTTTGATTCAGTCCAAACACACAGCAACTGAACTATTTTTGTTTCAAATAATCGGCCAAAGAATAATCTCCAAACTCAGGGTAAATTGGATTAATCCTATTGTCAGAATACCTTACCTATCCAGATGAGTTAGTCAGCCCTGGTCTGTGTAGAACTGTGTTTATAGATTACAAATGTACTACAGTCATTTCCGTTTCTAATTCTCAGTGTGTCTGATCCACGTCCTGCTCTTCTTCTCAGAAATGGAGCGGTTCCTCCCAGACTTCTGCGGCAGCTCGTTCCCTCTGTCAGCTCTAAGTCCAGACCCTAGGCCGGAGCCTAGACCAAACCCAGGCCTTAAACCCGGGTCGATGCCTGCTCGGCTCTGGAAGAGGAGGGAGCACAGGCTGAAGCGCTCCAACACGTCCCCCCGCAAGAGAGCCGTGTCTGGGGCCGGGCTGGGAGGAGCCGGGGGGTCCTTCAGGGAGGGTATGCCCCTGTTTAAAATCATATATTATAACTCTATTAGTGTTGATTTTTTTCCGTCTCTTTAAATATTGTACATACTTTTTGACAGTGTTGTTTTCACACAGTTTCCCAGTCCTCATCTGACGTCAGCTTCATGAGTGGGAGTCCACTCCACAGGTCTGTTCCACTTGTTTACTTTCAAACAGGATGGACTAGTAGCTGTGGTTAAACAGTGTCTTATATAAATAAATGTGCTTTTGTGTCCTTTCTGCAGATCTGGAATGGGGCTGTTCTCAGACGAAGAGACCGATCTGATCTCTGAACTACAGACTCTGTGCTCCAGCAAATCTGAGCCAGACATCAGCAAGGTACGGGTACTGCTGCTGCTAATAATACTATTACTACTGCTGTTAATTTTACTGCTGCTACTACTACTGCTGCTGTTGCTGCTGCTACTGCTGCTGCTGCTGCCGCTGCTGCTGCTGCTGCTACTACTGCTACTACCACTACTACCACTACTACTGCTAATACTTCTGCTACTGCTGCTGCTGCTACTAGGACTACTGTTGCTGCTACTACTACTGCTGCTGCTGCTTCTACCACTGCTACTACTGCTACTATTGCTACTACCACTGCTGCTGCTACTGCTGCTGCTATTTCATCTTATTATAAAACATGTTATGTTTTGTGTGAGAAAGAGCCTTGTGAGTCACTAGTGGACTTTTTGGGTTGAGTGCTGATTGGCTGAGTGAGGGTGGTCCTTAGGGTTGCCAACCGTCCCTTAAAATACGCAATTGTCCTTTATTATATAATAACGATGTGCATCCTGTATTGAAACGATACAGGATGGCTTTTGTCCATATTTCTGAGTCACCTTAAATGCATCACTCACTCACTGCATCTCACACACACAGTAATCACAGTTTAAGTGTCTACCTTTCGGCCAATCAGTGTCAATGGGGGGTGTAGGGTCGATCACATCCATGGGCTTGACAAGCGCCAGCGTGGGCTGTGCCCGCAGCATCATCACGGCAGAGCTTCGGTAAAGTTAGCGTCATATTTAGAGATTCGGACTTCCGCGGTCAATAGCTCACGGAAGTCAAACGAAAGTAATTGCCCCAAAAGGATCACCTCTACATTGATTTTTCAAATCCAAATTTGCTGTTTTAATGCAGAGAAATCCATTGAATCCAGTGCGCTGCAAGCGCAGAGAAAAGCACTTAGGGAGCGTCAACAAATGTCAAGACCAGCTTTGTAAACGAACAATGGCTTTTACGTGATGCTATGTACACGCACAAAACTGACACTATAAATAATGACCTTATCTAACTGCTGCAGACTTTGAGTTCAACATTTGTGGGGTTTTTATATTTTAAATGAATAAATATGTGTTTCTTGTATTAATTGTTTTTTACAGTAAATGGTCTTTACTGTAACATACATAAATACTACAAACTACTACAATCTTTTTATTCAGCATTTGTCTCTTTTTTATATCTTTTTTGATTGAATATTAAATATTTATTTTCAATAGCTTTTTTGTAAAAGCTGTCACCAAATTTTCAGATATGATCAATACTTTTTAATATATATTTGTAATGTATAATAAACATGCATTAAGTCCTCAATCAGCCAAAGTGTTGTACCTGTTTATAACTGTGAATATGAAATTCCATGATTTCTGTGTAGTTTGAAATTAAGACAACTAAAAAGTGCTCAACCCGATCCACCGAAATGGTGTCCCTTATTTCTGTTATCAAGTTGACAACCCTAGTGGTCCTCCTATCATAGCTAAAACGCTGCTGCTCTGAGTGTTTCCTAACTTCTTTTCCAGATCTCTCAGACCAAAGAAAGGTTCTCCAACGAAACCCCCACACAGCAGCGGAGCGACAAGGTGAGATCCACCCGCCCCTTCTTGCCAAATCCTCTGCTTTTCAAACTCTTTATAATTCCAAGATCAAGTTGAGAGGTCTCCATGTCTCCATATTTTGTGTGCTTTTTTTACAGCGTCTTTCTCGCGTGCTGCTTGTATACTTCAACAAAATACAACTGCTAGTATTACATGACTGTTACCTTTCTTTGAAATATTTTTGATCTCTTTCTTTGGTCTCACTAGTTTGTATGTATTGTCACTTTTTAGATCAGACAGAAAAGTGAAAAAGAGAAGACCATGTGACATTTTATTATTTAGGAAAAACGTACATACCCCAGCTTTAATATAGTGCAAATGTTTAACTTTTTTTTTGTTTTTTCTTTCCAGACTCCTCCTGTTTCTCCAACCGTCCATCGCTCCAACTCGCGTTTACCCCTTCCAGCCACCAGGGTCCCCAAATCCACAAATACTACTACTGCTAATACTACTACTACTGCTAATACTATGACTACTGCTACTACTACTGCTACTTTATGTACTTACGACAACCGAAATTTTCTCAACAACAATCACGGCGGACCCCAGCGCAGCAGTGGCGACCCCGTGTGGATCCTGCATGAGAACTACATCCCCCACAATCCCCCGCTGTAAAGACTTGGGACTGTGTTGTGTTGTGGTGACCGCCTGCTGCAAATGTGGGACCATAGTTTTCTTCAGATGGTTCGAGAGAAACTTGCTCAAGAAGTGAAGGTAAAGGTGCACTGCACAACTTTTTACCCTTGTGTTGGAGGTTGTTGAAGCGGCGGCCATCTTGAGTTTGTAAAGACTTCTGTTTTTAGATTCTATCAAATTTTCCTCTCCGCACTCTTTACTCTCCCTTCTCTCTCCTTTTTCCTCTTTTCTCTTCATTCTCTCCTCTTTCTCTCCCTCTGTCATGTCTCCTCTTCCCTTCTTTCTCTCCTCTCTCCTCTCTCTCTTCTCCCCTCCTATTAGTTTGAACCCTTTCTAACTTGGCAGATGCTCCCGCTGCTAAAGTTACACAGTGCATCTTTAAAACATGAAAGATTAGTTTATTAAAAGTATTTTAGTGTTCTTAAGAGGCGGCGTCTCAGAGAGCAGAGTGACGTGTACAGGAGTATGAAAACCAGACAGAAAATTCTGTTAATCCATCTCTTTTTTTTACTTTATCCGGTGTTAGGACACTGAGCTTTGACTGCTGCTCCATCCAACGCTTGTGTTACTTCACTCAAACTCAAACATGCTATTTTTGCTGGAGTGATGTTGTTCAGGATGTTAGCATTAAAATTCAATACTGACAGAATAATAATTTGTGAAGATATTACAGTATTTTACATTATTTCTAACCTGTAAAGCGAGAGCTCTGACTGCAGAGCGGCTCCCTCTTCACCGCATCACTGGATTTTAAACTTAATTGAGATGCCAGTATCCTTTGATAATCCAGAGTTTTCTCTGCTTTCTGAAACCCGCCTCTCAAACCAAACGCTGTCTGTGTTCAACAATCGTACTATTGAGCTGCTGTTTTCTCCGAGCCGTGAGAGTATTGTTTGTGTTTTGAATTAAGTTGAAAATGCTGTAAAATTAATCAGGGTTTTACCAAAATCTATATATTGTAAATAAGAGTGAAGTAGAGAGGTAGAGCTGTGGCTTGTACAGTGGACAAAACACTGAGAAAAAACGTAAAAAATGTCAAATTGTGAAATTGTAATTGTACATAATGTTTGTAGATTTTTTTTCTGTGATTTTTTCACTTGTGGCAATAAATCCAAAATGTACCAGAGAGAGAAGAGATAATCTAGTTTTTAGCACATTGAAAAATAGTAATATGTTGACAAAAACTATTTATTTTGGTATAGATCTTGGGGAAACAAATATACCTTTTTCCATCAGACTGGTACCAGTTCTGGGCCGGTTCCCATTTCAGAACCACAAACATTTTGAAACCATAGACTGTGTATTAGGAGTGGACTGACCAAGTGCTGACATCACCATAGTGTGTGCCTTAATGCAAAAGAAGCCGATTGGAGCTATATCAAAGAAGCTATTTGAGTTGTGGAGTCAAATATATGCATGTTTTGTCTGTAGCAACAGCCTAGTCACCAACAGAAGCACTGGTCCCTCTCTTCTCACGCTACTCACTGTTAAAGGTCTTCAATCATTCAGGCTCATATCTGGATTTTATATTGCACTGGTTTTATATAGCGCTTTTTGACACACACGTAACAGCATGATTATTTACTCCACACACTGTAGTGATAAACTGTAGCCACAGCTGCCCTGGGGCACACTGACAGAAGAGAGGAAACCAGTATGTACCATCAGCCCCTCCCACCACCTCCAGCCATCCACACACAGACAAGACACATTCTAGTGTGGCTTAAGTGTCTTGCCTAAGGACACAACAACAGTTTGACACTCTACATTGTCCATCTTTATACAGTATATGTTTTGAACCAGGTCCGGAGATGGGAACCAGCTCTTGTGTAAATCTGAGACACCTTTTATTTAATCTCCCGCTCTATTCAAAAGTAAGCTGTCGATGTGAAGTTAATTTAAGCTGAAATACAACAAAAACAGTTAGTTGAGAAGCTAATGCTAACTGCTGCTAGTAACCAGGCAGTGCCCCATTGTAGCAAACAAAAATGAAAGCTTGGATATGTAACTTTCTTTCCGAACAGAAAGAGCCTTGTGAAAGAAAAGGAGGTTTTTGAAAAGTGCAGTAAATTAAAGCTGGGGTACATGGCTTTTATTGTACAAGTAAAATACGGTGAAAAAATACGAACGCAACCTGCTGTCTTCACCTCATTAGAACACATTTTCTTTTGTGTAAGAAAAAGCCCTGTGAGTCACTATTTGACTCTTTGGCCTAAGTGGTAAAGTGATAGTGGTCCTCTCTTTTTCACTTTTCTGTCTGAAAAATCTGATCTAAGGCGGTGACAAAAATGCATGCATAAGAAAACTAGGGATAGAACCAGACTCTTTTAGAGCCAGGAACTAGTGACATAGATTTTTATCATAGAGCTCAATGTTTTGAAAGATACGTACTCCAGCTTTTAATCCTAGTTTTTTCCAGAATTTCTCCAATGTCATATAATAAAACAAATACTTGATATGTTTAAAAACACACAATGTTCATGTTTTTTACCTGTAGAATCAATGCATTTCAATGATTTCCCCCAATAAGACCAACCATTTATTTAAAAACCTTTGATAGAGTTTTCAATGTTGTGGAATAAAGGCAAACGCTACATTACGTTTATCAATATTACATCATAATTAAAAGCTTAAAAAGGAATTATTTCAGTTTGTTGCCTGTGTGACCGCGCGCTGCTCTGGTCTGTCCGTATACTGCCATTGTGTCCCTGGGCAGGACACTTCTCTCTCCTCTCTCTGGTCCCATGTGCTCTCTGTGTGGAGCGTACGGTTCAGCCTACGTTTGAAGACGTTTTCAATGTTTTAAAATTTAAATTCCTGGAATAATCCACATCTTTGTCAGCACATATCAACTCTGGTCTCACCATATTCTCTCGTTGGTCTCTCTAGTCTCTCTCTCTGGTCTCTCTCTGGTTTCTCTCTGGTCTCTCTGGTTTCTCTCTGATCTCTCTCTGGTTTCTCTCTGGTCTCTCTCTGGTTTCTCTCTGATCTCTCTCTGGTTTCTCTCTGGTCTCTCTCTGGTTTCTCTCTGATCTCTCTCTGGTTTCTCTCTGGTCTCTCTCTGGTTTCTCTCTCTCTGGTCTCTCTCTGGTTTCTTTCTTGTCTCTCTCTCTGGTCTCTCTCTGGTTTCTTTCTTGTCTCTCTCTGGTCTCTATATGGTTTCTCAGTCTCTCTCTGGTCTCTCTCTCTCTCTGGTTTCTCTCTAGTCTCTCTCTCTGTTCTCTCTCTCTCTCTGGTCTTTATCTAGTCTCTCTCTGGAAGTTTTCCGTTCATCGTTTGTGTTAATCTTAGTGATATTTCCGTATATTTAAATCCGTGTATAATCTTATACATATGTACAGAGAGATTAGATTGATTTTCGCTGTTTGAGGTTGAATTCTTTGTCTTTAAGCACATTAAACTGGCAAAAAGCAAGGACTCCAGTCTATTCTGTTCTTTTGAGGTTTTAATCATGTTACAATGATGTTCTCTCCTATAAAACAGATCTGCATCTGTTTTTTTCTCCATCCACGTTAACGTTGGAACTAGGAACTATGATATATATTACATAATCAGTAATTACAAGACTACAATTACAATACAATAATTGTTTACAATATTACAAGATCAGTATGTATTATAGTTATTATATTATTATTATTTCGTATAGGTTTTTTAAAAATATATATATTAATTGTGCTGGAATCAAACCGTTTAGATCCAGGAATGGATTTTAACAGTTTCATTTGTTTTGGTCTAAAAGTTGCATACCACAGGCTCAATCTTACTGAAATCTGTGCCACAATCTCAGGCTTGTTCTCCGGTGGGTCTTAAGGGGTATGTTACGTCTACTTCATTTAAAATGGCACCACTTTAAGAGAATGACCAGGTAAGGAATCTATAGAATGGAGAGACACTAGAGAGTTGAATCTTCTCTCTTTCTCTCTCCGGTCCCTATATCTATTGTCTCTCTCTGGTCTCTCTCTCATCTTTCTCTGGGACATAGTTAAATTTCTTTTGCCTCGGACTTGTTCTCTGGTCGGCCTTAAATGGGTATGTAATCTCTTCATTCAAAATGGCGCCATGGCATCAGAGTAACCGGGTATTCCGTGGATTCAACAGCAGAGAAAACACAACACAATTCTTACTCAAAATTTTCTTTACTGTAAATATATCTGATTTTAAAACATTTCGCGGACGTTTCCTATGAGGCATTTACACTGTAAAAATAAATCTTTGTCCTGGTTCAAACATCGTACCGACGAGCGTTCCCTTCTGCCAAAAAGACTCCTTCACTTTTTCTCAGGGTTTTACTCAGAACTCAGTAAATATTTCCAAACCAGTGGAGTCTGAGCCAAATCTGTGAGAACTACGACTTAATGAGAACTTCTGAATAGTAATAATAGTAAGTAAGTGTTCATGTGACATCACTACCTACCAAAGAGACTATAGTTTGTAGTTAACAGTCAAAAGTCACATTCTTAGTCAGATTCTTGTCAGCTAATTTAGTTATAATTCCTCCCATAAATAGATTGAGTTGAAATGGAGAAAATGGTGATACTGTCTATAGAAAGTGACGTAACATCTATTTAAGACATCAGTAAATAGTTTCTAACCGTATCAGCTTGAACACGGGAAATAAATTTGACTTTTCATTTGTATAAAATTATTGATGCCCTCATCGTTTTTTGCTCTTTCTGAAAAGGATATTTTTTTGTAGAAAAATATGCAAATACAATTCAGTTCTGGCCACAGAAAATTAGTCATTTTTAGTTTGGTAGGTGTAATAATTTTGAACAGCAGAGGGAACTCCACTTTGGTACAAAACGGAGTTTACTGAGTTCTGTGTGTTTTTCTTCCCGTGGGTCTGGTCTGTCTGGTCTGTGGGTCAATTCTGTGGAGCCTTGACGAGCTCAGACTAAAGTGCATCAAATATAAAAATAAAACTGAGCCGTTTTAAGGAAGTGAAGTCCAGGGCCACAAGAATACAGACCAGAAATACAACCAAATACAATCTGGTTTATACTCTCTGGTCTCCTTTGGTCCCTGGTCTTCTCTGGTCTCTGGGACTGGGTCAATGGTCTGGTTCCTGGTCTGTGGTCTGGTTATAGTCTGGTATCAAAGATATTTTATTCACTTTTCTCTGGGAGGCTGGTAGATCTTGGTGGGGCCCTGGTTTGGAGCTCTCTGGTCTGGTTACTGGTCCCGTCTCTGGTTGCTGGTCTTGTCTCTGGTTGGGTTACAGTCTGGTATCATGTATGTCTTCTTCAGTCTCCTCTGGGAGGCTGGAGATCTTGGTGGGACCCTGGTTTGGAGCTCTCTTGCAGGAGCTGAGGCGGTGGAGGTTGGGGAACAGTTTGAGCCGGTCTTGTGCACTCATGGCCTGCTTCAGCTGACTGGTTTCGTTCAGGAGTTTCTGGATAGAGTCGTACGGCTTTATGGAGCTGCCCTCGATCATCTGAGGAAAAACAACCAGGAAGTGGACTGTTAGCATGCTGGTTGCTGTGACTTTATCACAGTGGCTCGCTAAAACAGTTCTTCTATCTGCATCGTGGTCTTTATCCCCAATATAGTGCCCAAATAAAGGAGTAGTGGGGACTGACCAGGAAGGACTGGCATTCGAGCAGCGGCTCTACTCTGTGCTCCGACAGGATCACTGTGCAGTCAGAGAAGGACTGTTTCAGAGTCTTCCTCAGTACTTGCAGCGTTCTGCAAACAACACAAGACACAAACATTGGTCATAAAATCCATGTCATCCAGGGTCTTACTGGTATCGTCATGTAAAGCGCTTACAAGTCAAATGTGCGCAGCTGAGTTTTCATGGTATTCAACAATAACAGCGTCTAAAGCATGGCTCGTATTATTGTTGTAATAGCACTGTACGTCTACAGGGATGGCCACCTACTGGTCAGGAGGGACAAGTGTGCAGGTACCAGGGCTCTTCAATGCGCCACAGACACATGGTCAGTGCATTGGAGAAGTATGAGGTCTGTAAGTAACACCGGTCGCTGTGCGCTGTGAGGGGGTCAGGTATGCTGTGCACCCGTTGTAGAAGCCTGGAGCTGTGTAGCCAGGCGTTTGTAAACCCCACAAACACACAGCAGCAATGTTTGTTCTGCTTCAAACGTGCGCAGTGAGAAAATATTGTGTCTTGTGTTAATAATATTTACCACTAAATCAGCTCCAAATATTTCCTTCATAAAGTCTGACATCTGACCCAACCATCCACAGACCATGAGGCCAAACCCTGCATCTAACCCTGCTGTTACATCAGTCCTCTATTCTATCCTCTACATTTTTCGGTAGACCTCACAGCAGCACCACCTCTACACTACCCGCTGGTGTGTGTGTGAGCATGAGCCTGCTTGGTTGCATCGAGGCACACATAGAGAGCGTCAGTATCAGTAACAGTAGCTGTACTCACATGGGGTCTAAGTACGCAGACGGCTCATCCAGCAGCAGTATTCTTGCTTTACTGAGGATGGACCGGGCCAAACACAGCAGCTGCTTGTGACCGTTGCTCAGGACGTATCCTCCGTCCTCCAGCAGGAAGTCCAGTTTATCAGGAAACTGCTCGATCACAGACTTCAGACCCACCTGAGACCACACCACACAGAAGGAGACAGAAGCTTTTACACAACCACACCACACACTCTGGTCTCTCTTCTATCTTAATTCTCTCTCTGGTCTCTCCCTTTCTGGTCTCTCCCTTTCTGGTCTCTCTCTCTGGTCTGTCTGGACAGAAGAAGATAGAAGCTGTTTAACTGGACACCACCTCACCACATACCTCGTCTGCCACCCTCCACAGCTCGTCGTCACCGTGGCGACTGTATGGGTCCAGATTCATCCTGAACGTCCCAGTGAGAATAAAAACTTTCTGTAACAGAGATGACAGGTTAAAAGCCAAATTATTTTACTGTATATAGTGCTAATTTTATAAGTAAGTCCTTAAAGAAATATTGTTCAATCCTTAAAAGAAGTCTGTATCATTTTTATATATATTTTTTTTTTTTAATCCTCTCCACGAGAAGCCAGTTGAGAATCTGGCATCTGTTTCGGGTTCCTCCTGGTGCCTCCCTGGGAAGGTCCCCCACCAGGGGGAAACCCTGGACACGCTGGAGGGACTGTCACCTCGGTATTCCCCCAGATGACCTGGGGAGAGTTTGTGTGAAGAGGGAAGTCCGGGCGTCTTTGCCTAGACTGCTGCCCCCCCTGACCCGGCAACAGATAAAGTTGCTGGATGGATGATTAATGTTTAACAATGTACTGTACTATCAGCTACTATTCATATCCATGTTGTCTGCACTGTATGTTGTCTATAGTGCACATATAGTGTTTTTTGCAAATGGGAAGCAATCTGAATCTGAACCTGTGGGACGACCCCAAAGGCCTTCCTCCAGGTGTGCAGGGACACGGAGCTCCACGACACGCCATCGATGGAGATGTCTCCTTCTGTAGAGGCCAGTCTGAGGAGAGCCGAGAGCAGCGTGCTTTTACCCGAGCCGGTGCGACCCAACAGACCTACCTGAGAGAGGGGGAGAGAGAAAGAGGAGTGTGAGAGTGGGATAGAGGAGCATTGGGACTAAAGAGAGAGCGATAACACTGGCGAGAAGGAGAAAGAGGAGCGAAAGAGAGGGGAGGAAAAGGAGTATGAGGGGAGTGAGAGGGAGAGAGAGGACTACTATAGGCTACTTCTACTAGCAGTAGTAGTGGTAGTAATAATAGCAGCAGCAGCAGCAGCAGCAGTTCTTACACTATGGCCTCCGTCCACACAGAAGCTGATGTCGCTCAGCACAGCTCTTCCAGCCTGGGTGTACTTAACGGTCAGACCCTGGACATTCATGTGTCCGCGGTTGGGCCAGTAGTTCTGGACGTGAGGATTCTCCAGGACCAGGTCTGGACCCAAGCGGCCTGACTTTCCAGACTGCGGCTCCTCGGAGGGCAGGTCAATAAACTTAAACACACGGTCCACTGAGCGTATCTGTGGAGGAGAGAGAACTGGATCAGAGAGTCTGTGTCTGGTCTCGCTCTCTGGTCTCGCTCTCTGGTCTCGCTCTCTGGTCTCGCTCTCTGGTCTCGCTCTCTGGTCTGGTTTCTGATCTCTCTTTGAAGTTTAATAGTTGATTTAACTGGAAATAAGACATACAGTATTTTGATCATTTCTAGAGCTTGAAACTTGTATTTGATCAAGTGTTAAAATTTGATCTCGTTCACTTTTGAATGCGCTGGAAACGGCAGCAAGTCCTAAGTAGCTCTGCTTTTGTGCTTTACAATTGTTATATTTCTTGCTTTTTTCTACTTGAGATGTTGCTGCAGTACAATGTTCATGGTTTTGCGTTGGTCCAGGCCAGAGCAGAGAGGATTCATGGTCTGGAACAAGCAGATCAGGCGAAAATCCAGTGGAGAAATGCTAACTTTTTGAAAAATGCTAACAAAGCATTTAGCATTTTACTTTGGACCAGAACAGAGGAAATGGTCCAAAACCAAGCGGCTCCACCTCTGCTGCTTTGACCCGTCCTGCTCCACCCCCAGCAGATGGCCCACCTCTGGTGCTTAATATGAACTGCTACTGGACAGCTGAATTTCTCCTACGGGGGATCAATAGAGTATCTATCTATCTATCTTTCTACCAAGTGGAGTAACAGTACATCAGATCTTTGATGCTGTTTCTGTACCAGTCCATCTACAGTGATGCTGGTGATCACGGCCCATTGGAACGTCCCCAGAATCAGCATCGCCAACGCCACGATGATGCCAATGTCTCCGGGTTTGTCCTCTGAAAAAAAAAAACAATTATTCATATTTATATAGAAATATGGGGGCGACAGTAGCTTAGTTGGTAGAGCATTGGCCTTCGAGCCTGAAGGTCGTTACGTTCGAGCCCACCGTAAGACCTACTTCACGACTCCCACTGATGACTGCTGTCGTTGTGTCCTTGGGCGAGACACTTAACCCCACTTTGCCTGAAGCTCCCACTGAAAGATCTCAGCTACTGTGGACTCACCACCTGCAGGAGGATCAGTGAGGGGCTGGTGCTCTGTGACTGGGTGCAGCTCTGACTGCCACCCCCCGACCCAGAAATGGATTAAGGGGAAGAAAATGGATGGATGGATATAGAAATACACATCTATATTTATAAACACACGACACAGAGATCCTATAGTCTACCACCTCTCCATGGAATCTTTAAGTCTGCAAAATAAATCTGAAAAGGAACCAAAATTGTGTTTTTTGTGATGAAATTACAAAAAACACAAAATTACAAAAGCATTACAAAATTACAAAAGCAAAACATCACTTGATTTGAGTTTATTTTGATACTGTGTCAATGAAACAAGTATCTCTGGTCTCTCTTTAGTCTCTTTCTAGTCTCTCTCTGGTATTTCTTTTGTCTCTCTTTGTCAATGGAACACATATCTTTGGTCTCTTCCTTGTCTCTCTGCTCTCTCTGACCACACAGGTATATCCTACAAACTGTTTTGAGAGTGAGAAACGGCTGATATGGATTTTTCTTACACAGTTGATATATTTGTGGCTTGAATACCCGGCACGTCAGTTTTAAATAATGCAGATGTTATAACTGTGACTCTTCCGTGGTTTGTCCTCTGAGCTGGACTCTTTAGTCTCGTCCAATTTCAATCTAATGAAGCAGAAAAAGGATCGCCGTCTGCTGCACCCTAAACACATGTGAGAGCTGTTTCTTCACAGTGCTTGGGTCTGATGAGTTTTTGATCTGATTTTCAGAAGAATATTTTGACAAGACCAGTTTGACTATGACTTTGGACTTTGAAGGACTGGTCTAGTTTACTCATTACTTAGTCCTAGTTGAAATATTAATGGGGCCGTACTAGTGTAGTTCTAACAGCACACCAGACCACACAAAAATTATTATCAAACATTATATTCACAGGCTTGTTGATCTAAAGGCTTATAAAAGAGAAATATTATGCAATATCGCCCTGTTTTTAACCATGTTCTAACAAATGTTCCTCATCAGTCACAGACCTGGAGTTGATATTAGATCCATCCATCAAATCAGGCCCTTCTGTCACAAACATGTACAGTAGCTGTGTTCCTTCTGTCTGAAAACTCCTGTCTCAGTTCTGTAATAGCATGTCTTTGTACCACCATGACATCACACTCTTTTTCTGTCTCTCAAAAAAAGCATTTGTTTGTTTGTAGGATTTGTTTATAAATCCTTTGTGTTTGCAGCAAAAGTTTTACAAGTTTGGAAAAAAATATATTCTACTCCTCCCCCTGGTAGTAGCATAGGGAGTCACAAGGGGAACACACTTTTTAACCTTTTTAAATATGTCTTCTTTAAACATAGAAACTGGTTCAATAAGTTCCAGTTAAAAATGTTTTTCAGCAAGGGAACTTCTGGCACAAACACATCCCCTCCCCTTCTGTCCAAATGCTGCTATCTCAAACCTGGCACATACTTTTTTACCTAGGTGTGTACACTTTCAATACAGTAACGTAATTGTCCAGACTTACTGTTGGTTCCCACGGCGATAAAGGCAGCGGCGGTGAAGAACAGCACATAGATCATGTCGCAACGGAAGAGAAACCAGCGCAGAGTTGCCAGATAGTGGAACCAGGTGGCTGTGTGCGTGTTCAGAGCTTTGTGGAACAGCATCTCAAAGTATGTCTGGCGCCCGAACGCACGGATGGTCCACAGTCCTTTCAGCGAGATGATGAGGTGGGAGAAGATGGGGCTGCGAGCTGCACACACAACACAAGATTATACACACTTTTTAGGGCAATACAAACATAAATTGAATTGAATTGAATTGAGAGAAAGACCAGAGAGATGATTTCTGCTGTCGGTGTGTTCTTGGCAAGATGCCACAGTGGGGCGGCTGCAACTGTAAAGTGCCAAACTGCCGTTGTGTTCTTAGGCAAGACACTTCTAGAATGAGTCTGCTGTGTGTGTGTGAATAGTTGGTGGTGGTCGGAGGGGCCAATGGCACATACTGGTTGCCTCGCTTCTGTCAGTGTGTCCCCGGGCAGCTGTGACTAAAGAAGTAGTTTATCCCCACTGTGTATGGAGTGAAAGAATAATGACATGTAAAGCATCTTTGAGTGTTCAAAAAAGTGCTGTATAAAACCAATGCATTAATATTATTATTATAGAGAGAGCAGAGAGAAACCAGAGAGAGACCATAGTTGATATGTGCTGACAAAGAAGATGTGGAACCGTGTGACAGTTTCATGTGGATTGTTCCAGGAATTACAGAGAAATTTGCTTCTAAGACTAGAATCTGACTTTTGACTGTTACTAGAATTACAAGGAATTATTTGTCTGCTGCCCCCCACCACGATGTTAAACTAGAGGCTCTTTGGAATGTTGTATGTATGAATGTTGTATGTCTTGTTTTTTTGACAACAAAATACTGCTGACCCAGGTCCCGGTCCTCATGGGCGGCAGGCAGATCGAATAGATGGAGTCAATTAAATATCTTGGTGTTCAAGTGGACAACCTGCTAAAGTGGACCATCCATGTAGATGCTTTATGCAAAAATCTGTCTCAGAGTCTTCACTTCCTCAGGAGACTCAGACTGTTTGGTTTGAACTCAAGAATCATGACGTTTCTATAATGCCATTCTTGAGAACCTGATCAGATATGGCATGGTTGCTTATTTTGGCTCCCTAACTGTAGCTTGTTAAAAGTGCTCTGCTCAATAAAAGCAGGTAACTTGAATAGTCTTCTTGTTCGAGTGCAATGCTCTCATGTACAGTATCTCCTTTTTTAAAACTGTGTGTGTGTAATACTGTGTGTTTCCAACTGCACAAGCACTTCGTTGGGGAAAATGCAATGTACTTCTTAATCTGCACCACACTAGCAATTTAGCCCTTGTATGTACTTCGTTTCTTACTGTTTTTATCTGTGGTCTTTTACAAGTGTATTATTTTGTATCCTGGCACTGATGGGACTGTGCAAAACTATGACATGTTCTAGTGTTGTAATTGTGCAGAACATTTCCCTGATGTTGAGAGGCTCACAGTGCTGTTGGACACAAACATAGAAGACACTAAGACAAATTTCCCTGAGGGGATAATAAAGTTGAACCTTGCATGGATTCATAACTGGATTGTTGTCAAAAGGACTTACAGAAGCTGTCGTTTAAGTGAATTATATCTGCACTAATAATAATTCCTTTAATTAAAAAGTATTTCAAGGTAGTCAAAAGGTGTTTCAATGGCAATATACTGTACAAGCTGAATCATCAAACACAACACAGCTTGGGAGAAAATACTGAAGTCCTTATTTTCGCACAGCACGTAAAAGATGTCCCAGTGCATGTTTAGCAGCTGAGTCACTCCATTGTAACATTGGGCCTGAAGTTGGAGATAGTATTTCCACAAAGTTCAGAGGAAACCCCAGCCCAGCCCTCAGTTTGACCTTGAGCTGTGGAAAATAGTCTGTCATCAGAAAAAAGAGATATAAGACTAAAGAGAGCAGGTTTAGACTTGAGCTTAAAATGTGTCTTTATGTTGAAGTGATAGCTTTGTTCCTACTGAGCTAAAACCCTGGGTCTCCTCTTCCTTCCACACTGAGCGACTAACTAACTTGACATTTAACCCGCCTCCTGACCTAGTCTTGCAAGCCAGAGCAGAGGAGTGCAGAGTGAGGGAAGGATGGAGCGTGAGACTGACAGACGGATCGGTGCAGTGTGTGCATTTCTTATTGTGGTGACAAGGGGGCAGCGTCTGCAATCCGAGCTTTCTATTTACCACTCTCCGTCTCCGTCCCCTCCCTCACCTCTGGTCATGAGCTTTAAGTAAGTAAGTAAGGAAGTCATGTTTCTTTATATAGCGCTTTTCTCAGACCAGCGTCACAAAGCGTTTTACGAATGTTGTGGGAATTTGTCTCTCACTCCACACAGAGATGGGAGCTTACAGGAGATGCATGCTGGACCTACTGTACATGTTTTTAGTGGTAGGGGAAACCGGTAGCCTGACTCTCGCCAGACCCTTGTAGATTGCTGCGCTTCTCACATGGGTCTGGGCCATAGCAGTTGGATTTCAGTGGGGCCTTGTAAAAAAAATCCTTGTTATGTGTTGGATAAACCACTTGTCTGTTATCTTGAATGACGTCTTCCTTCAACCACTCACATCGAAGCACACGACTCCCATGGGTTGCCAAATGTCAGCAAGATTTTCCAGCCCAAAACCCGCGAGAATGCCCAAAAAAAAAAACACCCAGAATGATTTTTTGGCTAAAAAAAGTAATGCAATCAAAAAGTATGCGGGAAACCACCCAACCTGGCCACCCTGCTGCGTAGTGTTGTAGACAGGAGAGCTTAAACTAGTACTCCTGGATCTATTATAATAACTGGATAGGGTATTTATTGTAGGTATTACTAGCTTGGAGCTGAAGAACCCATGTGCTCGGGGATTCTCGCGGTACTGCAGACTAAACTGGACTAAATTCACGTGGGCTACCCAAAAATTTTCCCCATAGAACTCAATGTAAACTAAGGGTGTAAGTAAGTAAGTAAGTAAGTTTTTATTTATATACCGCCTTTTCACTGCAGATCTGAGTCTCAAAGCGGTTTACAATTGTTAATTTTGGGCATTTGTCTCTCACTCCACACAGAGATGGGAGCGGGGCCAGTACAGGAGGCGCATGCCTGAACTATTGGACATATTTTTAGTGGTAGGGGAAACCGGAGTACCCGGAGGAAACCTACGCAGACACGGGGAGAACATGCAAACTCCACTCAGAAAGGCCCTGGTCCGACCGGGATTCGAACCCAGGACCTTCTTGCTGAGAGGCGAGAGTGCTATCCACTCAGCCACCGTGCCGCCCATGTGTGCCACCGTGTATTCAGACCTGCACATTTGCTCCACTTTAAACGGACCAGGATTCGTTTGGAACTCTGATCCGAAGCTTTTATGCAGGTCTGAATACACACAAACGAATCCTGGTCCGGACCAAAGAACCGAACCGAGACCCACTTTTTTAGGTGGTCTCGGTCCGCTTCCAAACGAATTCTGGTCCAAATCGAATCAGGTCTGAATACATCCGATGTCGATTCGACACAACTCCAAGATACGTGCGCATTTTTTGGGCTTAACAAGCCGCAGACAGAAACTGAGGAATTAGCCATGCAGCGGCTAACTATGCTGCTAACGCTACACAACAACACTGAGCCGTGGGCAGACCTGGAGCAGTGAGGAGACGCTGTGCAACAGGCTTATGGAGTTACAACTGTTCACAGTATACATTGATGTTAATGGCAACATCTTCAAACCATTTGCATTATTAAAAGCCTGACACTGTTTGACTCACGTCTCAAAGAGCAATATTCCGCATCATGTAGTGAATTGTGTTATTTGGTTCATACCTGATCCTCAGCGTCTGTTTGTCCCGTGGTTATTATAGATCCATGGTTTATCCACATGCTGCTGTCAGTAAGTTGTGGAACAGGGTTGTTATTATCATAGATCCATGTGTGGGACAGGGCACGGAGCGCCCAGACGGTCTTCTTCGGCTTTCTCCTCACGCATTCTACGTCATGGTGCTACGTCCCTTAGGACTTCGCTAGTGGGATATCACTCGTGACCCCCAGGTCACACGCCAGAGAGATCAAAATAATTTGCTCCAATCACCAGCCACCTTCCTCTATAAATGCCCCTGCACAAGGCCGCACCCCCTCTTTCACTCTGGCGCCGATTGAGATCTACCGTTCAATTTACCTGAGGAAAAGATGTCTTCTGATGCTCGTCCGAGTTCCCCTTCGCCATCCGGCGTCGGACGTCGTCGTTGCTCGACTTGTCGGGTCAAGCTCCAGCGCAAGGACCAGCACTCCAGCTGCTTCGTGTGCCTGGGTTCGGGCCATGCGGCGTTGAGCGCCACCTGCGCCTCGTGTCTCGCTCTCCCCAGGGAGGAGAGTGAACGCAGGCGCGCGTTCTTCGCCGCTACAGCGCCCCGTCCGGACTCCTCTCAGGACGAGGAGTCTGAGACTGACTGGGCCCCACTCGACCTTCCACCCGTGCCCGCGGAGTGGGGTGACTGCGAGGACGGAGAGGTGTCGGAGGTCGGCTCTCTCCTCACGCTGGACGAGGTGGTGTCCAACCCGGAGCCGGACCGCTTCCCGCTGGACCACATGCCTGGGCTCTACTCCACGGCGGAGTGGAGTAGATCATGGATGCGCCCCTGCCACCGCAACCAAACCAGAGGGTGGAGGACTTCACCTCTGGTTACGCCACCACTCGAGGGAGGAGGAGGGCGCAGCCCATGTTGTGCCCGCGGATGGACCCTATCGTCCATTACGCGACACGTGAGTGGCCAAAGCCCCTAGCGGCCAAGAGGCCCGCTTTGGGGTACGGCATGTACTGCAACGTGCAGGACTGGTCCTGGACCGGCGGGGTCCCGGACATCGAGGATTCGGTTCGAGTGGCCCTGCACCCCTCCGCATCCGTGTGGCCCGGCACCAGACCTCTCCTTCCCTCCGAGCGGGACAGGATGTCTCTGGCGATGCACGACAGATGTTACGCCAATGCGGCACAGGTCGTCGCCGTGGCGAACAACATGGCTTTCATCACCGGGGCCCTGGATAGGTCGCTCTCTTCTGGCCAGGCGCTCAGTGGAGACACCTTATCTCAGGCGAGGACCACTTCAGTGGCGATCCTGCGCATGTGCCAGGCGCTAGCTGTCGATGGCGGCCGCACCATGGCGGCAGCACAAGTCGGGGCCAGGCACCTCTGGCTTGGGC